ACGTCTGTGTTGTCAGGGTGTTTTTGTCAAAAGTTATATTTTTTGAGTTTGGTCTGATTCGGTCCCATCAGTCTTTTCTCTGTTAGTGTGTCCTTGATCCAGCTGTTAATATCGAGTTTCATATATTATTTGGATGATGATTTTTATCGAATGATTTTAATATATTAAAGTAATAAATCTTGCTGATGTATTGGTTTAAGTGAGTCTCTGCTTTCAAGTATCCACTTATATCGTGGTAAGTAATCATGTAATGCTATTCCAAAATCAAGTTGAATTTCTAAGTGGAAATTACTTTTTGAATCCTACACTTAAATCAGTATTTCATTATAAAACAGCACAGTTTCACATAATTGACTTAACAATACTTATTAAGATTTTCAGCATTTTGCTTAAATGCTTGTTTTTGTATTGACCTCAATATTACCTTTAACCTAAACTCAACTTTAATTTTGTCTCATCGAGTATTGCTCATATCCATTTAACACTGTTTCTGAGAACAGGCTTGAATTCCAGCACACTTGGCAGTCTTTTTCTGATTCTTCCTGTGATTTTCCCCTCACACAGGTTGAGATGGGGATGAAGAACCATGAGATCGTCCCAGTGAGTCTCCTGTCCTCCATCGCTAGCCTTAAACACGGCGGCTGCAACAAGATCCTCAGAGAGCTTGTCAAACACAAGCTTGTGGCCTATGAACGCAGCAGGGGTAAGAAATGCTTGTTGAACATTCGTAGTCCTGCTACACGTTATATTTTCTAATGCATCCTGTATATGTTGATTTCAGCTGTGCAGGGTTACAGGTTGAACAATGGAGGATATGACTACTTGGCTCTGAAGACCTTGTGCGCCAGAGAAGTGCTCATTTCAGTTGGGAAACCAGATGGGTGTTGGTAAAGAGTCTGGTAAGAAGTGGCAAACACCTCTCATTTGGCGTGCATGTTTCATTTGAAATAAATTGCAAGACGTTCTCTATTTATTTAGATATACATGATAATGGTTCACATAAGCACATTTTTCTCATCTTAATTTACATTCATCCACAATAATCCACACTAAATGATAAGGCACATTTTTAAAATGGATGAAAACAAAATGTCCTGAAAGCTTACCATGTGTATTCTAACCCCGGGATTCCACCGGGTCCGCCTGCGCCGCACCTCCTACAGCGTCAAACCCCACCGGGCGCGTTTCAGAAGCGGAGCGTCTTGCGTGCCGGCTCGCAGTTTTTGTTGATCTTGGCATATTTCCCGGACAGGCTACTTTGTACAGACGAAGTTAATAATAATTGTAATAGTCCAGTTATAAACGACATGAATCAAAGATGTGTTGCTGTATTTTAGTGGTAAAAAAATGCATTCATCATCATAATTATTCGATATATATATAATTTACACAATGCCTGTAAACCGGAGGAGAATGCTGGCATTTATTCTCCTACTTGAAAGACTATGGAGGCATAGGGTCTGCAAAATTAGTTTATTTTGGGGATTGACTGGATGCTCTGAACGTTCCACTTCCTGCTCGGCGCTATGCAAAGCCTCGCGTCAAAAATAGACCAGCCGCCTATTTTTAGCAGAGCCCAGCACCGGGGCGCTTCTGAGCCGTAACGCGGCACATCTGGTGGAATAGCACCCATTGACTAGAGTGGCCGCGATTGATGTGAACGCCGCGGCGCAGACGGACCCGGTGGAATCAAGGGGTAACGGAATAGTTCAAATTAAATCTAACTGTTTTCTGCACTATTGTATTTGATATTTTTCTGCTACAAATCCATGTGGTAATTGTTGATGGAAGTTGCTTTTTATATCCATAATTATAAAGAAATACTGAAATACTAAAGCCTTTTTAACCGTGGTGTTTTAAAAGACAGTAGTCTAACTCAGCAGCAGTTTATGATTCCTTGCGTGTCGATGTGAATGACATCTGTTCTCTGTCAGGTTGCCAGGAGTCAGAAATTCTCATGTTCATAGAAACATTTGATTGTGCTCCCTCCTTTTAGATATTTATATTGTGGCAAGTCCCAACAACGAGCAGTACGCTCTGAAGCTTCACAGGTTGGGTCGTACCTCCTTCAGGAACCTGAAGAACAAGAGAGATTATCACCAGCACAGGAAGAACGTGTCCTGGCTCTACCTCTCTCGGCTTTCTGCCATGAAGGAGTATGCCTACATGAAGGTATGTGGACAAATCAAATAAGGTTCCATGTTCCAATTCCTACGATGTAAAGTAGAATTTCGTGTGCAGCATCTTTTGAGTCCTTTTTTCTCATTTATTAGGTATTGTACGAACGGGGCTTTCCCGTTCCCAAACCTGTGGACTATAACAGACATGCAATAGTGATGGAGTTCATCAATGGATATCCGCTGTAAGTAAACAAGCCATTCTTCTCTCTTACTTTATATATAACACTAACGAAAGCATTCTTTTCCTGGTCTCTTTTCCTAATATGAAATGTTTGTATTGTTTGTGTGATGTCTTTCAGGTGTCAGGTGCATAAGCTGGAGGATCCATCACACCTGTATAATGAGTTCATGGAGCTCATTGTCAAACTGGCCAATCACGGCCTGATTCATGGAGACTTCAACGAGTTCAACCTCATGCTGGACGACCACGACCACATCACTATGATCGACTTTCCTCAAATGGTGTCCACCTCACATTTAAATGCTGAATGGTTCGTTACTGTGACAATTTGGAAAATAAATGAACACCTATAATTAATGAAACAAAACAAAATATGTTTTTTTTGTTCACTTTTCATATCTTTCTTTATAGGTATTTTGACAGAGATGTCAAATGCATCAGAGATTTCTTCGCCAGAAGATACAATTACGAGAGTGAGCTCTACCCAACATTCAAAGACGTCAAGTAAATACTTATATTTATGTTTCGTTGCCAATCAAATTACTGAAATGCATCAAAAAAATTCTTGTTCGTGTGATTTCGAAATGCATTTAGCTATTTTAGCAACCACGGGAACATTTTGTCTGCCTTGTTTATTAACATGTAAGTTGTTCAAAATGTGTCCCGACACAAAATCTTGCATTGATTGTTTTCTTTTGTACAATTATTTCTAAAAACGTGATTTGCAAATAAAAAGCAAGCCTTAGTTGATCTTCTGTGTCATTGTTTATTCCTACAGGCGATCTTGTTCTCTAGATATCGAAGTATCAGCTAGTGGCTTCACCAAAGACATGGAGAGAGATAGTGCATTGCTTCACCCAGCAGGACCCGACGAAGAGGACGACGATGAAGAGGAGGAGAGTGATGACGAAGAGGCAACAGACGAGGAGGAAGAAGTGGACATGGATGAATATAAACATGCAATGCTGGAACTAGAAGGTCTGAAAATCAGCGACCCCACTGCAGACAAACACGAAGAGCAGAGCGAGGAAGAGGAAGAACAAAAAGAGACTGAGACAACGTCGCCTGCTGTAGGGGAGGAAGAGGAAGAACAAAAAGAGACTGAGACAACGTCGCCTGCTGTAGGGGAGGAAGAAGAAGAACAAAAAGAAACTGAGTCAACGTCGCCTGCTGTAGGGGAGGAAGAGGAAGAACAAAAAGAAACTGAGACAACGTCGCCTGCTGTAGGGGAGGAAGAGCCAGGGAAAGACTTGGAAAAAGAGTTGAGTGAGGCAGAGGATGAGTGTCCAGAGCTGGGAGACCTTTCTGCTGCTAACAAAGACTTCAAACCCTTCAGGTAAACAAAAAAAAAGTTAGCATGTCCAATATCCAAAATGATGTATATTTCCTAAAATAAGTTTGAATACTTCACCTGTAGCTGCCACAAAGTCAACACATATTTTAAGTTTTGATTAATAGGAATGGCTGGTAACTGACTTTCATTTAGTTCTGCTGTTAAACTCATTGCAATTTCTTTGACTGTTTTTTCCTGCAGAGACTCAGACAGTCTTCTACAGATGGCAGAGCACATGAGGAGGAGGAGGACAGACAGCGAGGGCACGATGGGCAGCATGGGGAGCTGTTCTACAATACCACTAGTAAGTCAACCACAGAAACACAGCTTGAGCAAAGTGTATTAGACATGGGTCAGGTTGGGAGACAGTACCATTATAAAGAAACACTGAGAATAATTTATCACTACAACTTTCTTGACAAAAACGTAGATGTCCTGTAGGTGTTGCTAAAGAGCTTTCATGGTGATGCAGTTTGTCAGAGAAAACGTGTCTGGATACTGTTGTGTCTGCCTAGCACGGACTTAAAGCGTAAACATTGGTCCGTGGTAACCTGCTGTTGTTTGGTGTGTGCTGCAGGAGGTTGTCCGTCAGAAGGTGCGGAGGCAGCTCTCCAAACAGCAGAAGGCAGCGCAGAGGAGACGCCTGCAGAAGGGAGAGGCCAACCTGGTGACCAGTGTCAAGAGAGAGAACGACAGCAACATCAAGTGTAGTATGGAGTCCGACTCCTTCTGGGGATAAATGGCAGTCCAGAGATGCACAGACCAGATTCATATCAACAAGTCTGTTGCATTGTCCCTGCTTCTGTGTCTGATGAGTTGAAAACAAATGAAATTGGATGGAAAATCTCAGCAGGAGAGTTTCTGCAGCAAATCAACTGTCCTGTACACAAAAGAAGACTGAAAACAAAGTGCATGTATTCAGCAAATCATCACACTGACCAGTAAGAAGACTTTTCTGTTTGAACTGTAGTGAACTACCTTGTTCAAAATACAGTGTAATGTAAATATCAACTACTTATAATGAAGCTGTATGTTTGATAATAAACCCATTTAAACCTTACTGATAAGGTGTGTTTATCTCTGTTTGTTCAAAAAGATTGGTACATTAAAAAAAAAGGAAATGCACCTGTGCTAAACAGGTTTTCTAGTCAAGTGAGTTCCTTTTTATTTGATACTCGCATATTGCCTATAGAGTAACTTTTACTATTATTGTGATTTCAAGTTCAGGTTTATTGCTGACCAAGTTACTCAAATGGATTTAAGAAATGGATTTCACATTCCTGAAGGCCTTTTATTTATCCTAAACTCTAGTGGTCCAAAGGTCTCCCAACTATTATGGTAGTTTGAAAAGATTCCTAACTCCACCCTTCGGGCATCCAATCAAAAACAAGCAGTTCCTGACACACAATTTGGAATGCTTCATAACACAACACTACTAAAAGCATTACATAAACACACATCCCTTTCTCCTTCACATGGACACAACCTAGCTGAGACATAACATGTAGAAGAGGAGAAGGCTGAGAAACTACTCAGACTAAGAATTTGGTTCATTTATTAGAGAGCGGCTTTCGAGAGCAAGTGAATTCAGGCTTCAACAAAGGTTATTCAAATTGAAGAGGGTGAATGGAGCTCAGACCCTGGACTTCATGGGCTCAAATTAGTGTGTGAAGTCAAAAGTATCCCACCCCCATACATCTTAAACACTCATTTCATTTTGGGTAGAATTGTCTCCAATGTTATGAACACTGAGGGTATTTCATATAAAAAGGAACACCCAGTCACCTTTCCACAGAAATGTTTACTTTTCCTCAAGGTGCCACATTGTGCCATCTGTGGTTCAACTTGGCCACTTTGTGCAGGTCTCTAACTGCTCGACTCTGTTCAGGGATTAGCCAGCTGCACGGCCCGAGGGGAGGGGCTCAGCATTCCAGCCAAGCACCTCTGTGAATGTGTGTGTGTGTGTGGGTGCATGTGTAGAAAGAGTGAGGGGCCCTCGGAGCTAATTGGCAGTGAGGTTGACAAAGGTGGTCCGCTTCAAAAGAGAAACCCTGGTGAGATGTTCACACAGGAGAAGGGGAGGGGAGTACGGGAGAGTAAGAGGGGATTTCAGATGTGGAGTTTATTCCTCATGGTCTTCCCATCCTGAGTTGTGATGGCGGTCGTCGTTGGTCATTTCCAGGGACATATGTGCTGTTTGGTTGGATCTTTTTGATGAGAGAAGGATGTATTGAGGCAGCTGTGAAAGCAAACTCTGGATGGCGATGAGTCAAGTGGAAGTGGAGGAGAGCATCATGGCATACCTGTCACAGAGCGAGACTGACGCCGGCCCCAAAGACTGTGAGTAACTCAGAAGCTTTGTGAGAGACTCGATTTTTTTTTACAGGAAATAAACAATTTCTTTTAGATATTAAACTCTTAAAATTGTAACAGGTGTGTTTTCAACTGATGTTATCGGTATGGTAGTAGTTTTATCATGACTTTGTTATATTCCTAAAAACAAATATCCATCAACGTATCAATGCTACAAAATACTTTACTGCAGTGAATACTTTAGGACAAAGTGAAGGACACAGAAAACCCTTAAAGCTAAAAGGGTTGCACAAATCAGATTTGTTTAAGTTACAGGGTGGCGCTTACCGCTGCTTGATCTACTTAAATAAACACTGTCTGGGATTTAAACTTGTATATTGATGTTAGCCTTCATACATATTCCCCCATGTTTACTCAGTGAGCCAAAAATAAAGCTTTTACTCATGATGATAACAAAGTAGTAATATTACGTAATTATAATTATTAAGTTGGGATCATGTTCTCTTCAACGGTTTTCTTTGGGTTTTGGTTTGCTTCATTTCTGTCCTTGTCCTTATTATATGTGTCCTTATTATGTGTGTGCAGTGAATGTGGTGGCGATGCTCCATAACTTCTGGGAGCAGAGGACTCAGTCCAACGGTTCCTCTGATGAATCAGACGGTTCTGTTGGGGAAGCCCCCGTCCACACTGAGAGCTTACTGCTGTACGAGTCTGCTGCATCCCCCGGCCCCCCATACGTCTGCTATGTGACCCTGCCTGGAGGAAGCTGCTTTGGGAACTATAAGGTGTGTTTAGTATCATCTCTGCTGCCTGTTGCCTTGGTAGTGGGGGTATCACAGTATAATATGAACAATTGATATCATGAGGAGACGGAAACAAACGCTCACAGAAAATGGAAAACAAGCATTACATTAAATTATCCTCTGCCTCCTAAATCATTTCATTTAAAAAGACATGTTTTAGACTTTTAATGTTATTTTAGAGACAAAATGCACAAAAAACAATGAATTTGACTGAAAGCATTATTACGTGTTTTAATGTAAGATGAAGTACCCTTTCTCAGTAGTTCCAACATCTACATTGTATCAATGATGTCCTATGTTTTAGTCAAAAACTTAGTCAATAATAAGTTACTATTTAGCAATTTCAAGATACATGATGCAGGTGATATTTCTGTCTCGATGGTTAAATTGCAGGATGCGTTGAAACCAAAACATTAGTTGTAAATATATAATCAATAATCATAACTTGTTATTCTAAGTAAATAGCTAAATGGCTGTAGTACTTTGCAGTTGTTTCTGTTCATTTTGCTGCAGCCGCCCCAGTAACAAGTTTTCTTACAAACTTTATTTGTTCTTGTTTTATTATCAACTTTCACATTAAGAGGTAAACGCTGTTAAGCAAGAGTTGAAGGAGATTTGGTGGGGATAAGCACACAGTCACACACACTTTTGAGGTTGTTTTAAATTGATGTCGTTCTGTTTCTGTTTCCAACAATGCCTCTCATTGTGACCCAGACGCAGCCCCCAGCTCAGAGGAGGCACATGATTGGTTATCTGTGAATGCCTTTTATGTTCTAATCTCATTGGTGAATTGAGTTCTGATCCCATGATTAGCTGTAATGAAGTGTAAAATCATCAAAATGTAGCCGAAAGTAGCCGCCCTTTTACTGACAGGACTCATTAGGCGCATTCACACTGCGGTACTTTTCCCACAAAGGTTCATGTGAATCGCGTTCACACCAAAAAGAGCCGGTACTAAAATTAGTTCATGTGAACCTTTTTACCCCCACGAAAGTCCCTGCTAGAGAGCAGGGACTTTCGTGCGGCTCTCTTGTGAGAAAAGAGCTATATTTCTGATTGGCTGGGCGGATTGCAAACCACGCCCCGTAAAACTCCCAAAAAGTTTTTGTGAAGCCGCCATTTTATTATCCTCGCATTAGCATTAGCATTAGCCCAGCGCAGAAGAAACGCAGAGAAAGACTAATTTATGGCAACACAAAATAAAACATGGGAGCGGTGGAGATGAGGAGGTGTCGGCGTTCTGGCGATTTACTCGGAAGAACAACTCCGGGGACTTCCGGCCGGGGACTTTGGGCGGCAGTATACGCCGTGAAGTGGTTTGCGGCCTGCCAGTAAACCCAAAGCAGAAGAAGAACAAGTGACGTCAGCGGCTTCATTTGCCTAATCCACCCCCAGGGACTTTTTCCAGTGTGAACGCGATCTGTACTTAGTTCATGCGAACTAAACAGTTCACATGAACTAAGTTCACATGAACCTTTGTGGGAAAAGTACCGCAATGTGAATGCGCCTAATCAGAAAACCCCAGGCTCTGCAAACCGAGAAACTTTAGTTTAAAATGACAAAAGTTAGTCAAGTCAAAGTCAAAGTCAACTTTATTGTCAATCTTTCAGTTTGTGTGTAGGTACAGACAGAGAGATCGAAATACCTTTTCCCACAATCCCGAATACAAAAACAAAATATACAAAAATATGTATGCAAATATGTATATACCTATATATACACAATCAAAAGACACATGTATACATATGCACACATTAAGACCGAATTAAAAGCACAACAATCAATATATACAAAATAACAGTCACTTTAATATCTTTGAGAATGTACATTAATGCAAGACTGTCCATAGCAGCGTAAAAAAAAAAGTGGTGCTGGTTACATATTTGTCTCACTCTTTTTACAGGTGTGTGACACCCAGGCAGAGGCTCGGCGGGACGCAGCTCGCGTGGCTCTGATGAACTCTCTTGTGAACGAGCTGCCGTGTCGGCGCATCAACCCTCAGTTCATCACTCACAGTTTGGAGCAGGCGGCCACAGACAGTGCTGTGAGCGTGAGCAAACACATTATTACAACTTAATACAAGAATTTAATATCAAGATGAATGTTGATCTTCACTGTTGTCTCTGTTTAGGTCACTATGGAGGATTCTTGTGATTCAAGCACCAGTATAGGAACCTACAGTTTGCTGCTTCATTCCTACAAAGGAAAGACAATGTTGGAGTTTCAGGTAAAAAATAAAGCCACAGCAGATTTATCAAAATGCTATTTTTCTTGTTTCTGTCCTCATAAATCATGTGATAATTGCGTGTACTATTAATTTACTTCAAAGGATTCGGGCTTGTATGCAGGTACTTTTCTGCTCGGTTATCTTGAATAGTTTATTTATAATTATAATTACATTGGTAGCTTTCAAATGTAACATGACGTGGGTATTATAATGCTAAACACAACAATAATCACAACCAATGGGTGGTAATTATACCCACCAATGTTATTATTAACCCCCCCAAGTATGTTTTTGCTCATTTCTCCTTCTCCATTTCACTGTGTTAGACCCAGGCATGGTATGAAACACCATATATTTCTAGCTTTGTGTAAATAAACATAAGCCGTGCGCAGGCAGAGGGTTATTAGCTGGAGGAAATGGGTTCATTATCATTCCATGGATCATGGAGATGAAGACTTTTTAAGGAATACACACACCTTCATGACAGACAATTAAATGTTTTGACATAAACATTTAAATCTCTCCAGACACAGCATCAACAATACGGTATGCAGCTCTCCGGGCTTCAGATAAGTTATACATGCAGATAATCCAGGGAGGGTTCAACAGTTTGGTAGTCATGCAGAATCATAAAGTAGCATAGGGCCGATGCACAGTTGTAAACAGAGAAAAAAGGCCAGCTGATACAATATGGACCTCAATCCCAGACAACGTACAGTATGTGTCATATTCAGTGTTGGAAAGCTTCTTTGAAATGATGGCTTTTTAATCTACCAATTACTTCACATAGTATATTAGAGCAAGTTACCATAGGCTAAAACTCTGCTTCTTTTACAAAAGTAGTTCAAACTAAATAAAAGTCACAGGCCAGCAGAAAAAGCCTCCCAATTGATTTTATTTCAAAAGTGATATACAGGTCTTATATAAAGCAAAAAACTGTATTTAATTTCAACGTTTTTAAGCCGCTTGACCAACTTGACCACTGGCCTAAAAAAAAGCAGTTTTGTAACATCTGACTTCTTAAGAAAACGACTTTCCCCATGAACCTTTGTAACATTATAAACAGCTTGAACCACAGGTCACAATAAAACATATTTTTCCTGTTCAGAGCAGAATTAAAGAGGGTCAATTACAGTACAGTAAAACATTTAATAAAATGGTTTCCATTTATGCCCCACACGTTTTTTGTAGGTAAAGAATTAGCTGAAAATGGAAAATATAACCACTTGGAAGTACCAGCTAGCCAAATACACTTAACCTACTAGTTAGTTAGATGTAGTTCACTACTTCCTACAATTGGTCATATATTCTCATCTGTGTTTCATGATATCAATTTTAGTAATTTTACAGACTTTCTCTGTTTAAACACTAAAGTCATTAGTCCCTAACACAGGGAAGCTGTGTTTTATAAATCGGGGGTAAAACCTACCTGGTGCATAAAGATTTACAATATCTTTTCAAACCAATCATTCACAGTTTAGGCGTGCGTTCAAGAAATACCCTGACAAATATGTTATCTTTGTCAGACTGCGTACACAGAGCTGGATGTTTGGGTTTTGTTATTCCGTCATTAATCATGTGGTTGCACAAGACTCTCTCTCTCTGTGTGTGTCTAATGTTCACCACCTCCTCCCCCCTCTCTTCCCCTGTATAGGAAATGATGACAATTTTCCAGTTGTTGCAGTGGAACGGGACACTGAGGCTCTGAGGGAGAGGCAGTGCTCTCGGCAGGTACAGGTTTTGAGGATATCTTATCCCTGGTTCAGTTCACTTAAAAAAAACACAGGATATCTGCTGCTGCCACAAGAATAATGTAGACGTGACGTTAGTGAGCTAAGAGTGGATTTATCGCTACTTTAATTACATGGGAATAAGTTGTGTTGAAGTAGGCCAGAGGTGGGGAGAAGTACTCAGATCGTGTACTGAAGTAAAAGTTGAAGTACCAGAGTGTAGGAATACTCTGTTACAAGTAAAAGTCCTGCATTCAAAATGTTCTCAAGTAAAAACTCAAAAGTATAAGCATCTAAATATACTTAAAGTACCAAAGGAAAAGTTCTATGTGCATTTGTGCAGAGCGGCCCATTTCAGAATAATATATATGAAATGTTTTGATTATAAATATTTATGCATTGAAGTGTTGTCAAAGCTGGTAAAGGTGCAGCTAGTTGAGTAATTAATACTTTGTTTGCTGCAGGGTAGTTAATGGATTTTCTCCAGGTGTAAAGTGTTGATTATATATTATTTACATGATTGACATGTAAAGTAACCAAGGTATTACAAACAGTAATGGAGTAAAAGTACATGACTTATCTCTGAATTGTAATAGAGTAGAAGTACAAAGTAGCAATCATTGAAATACTCAAGTAGAGTACAAATCCCTCAAAATTGTACTTAAGTACAGTACTTGAGTACTCTACCTAGTAACTTTACACCACTGGATGCTGCATACTGATTATTGATTATGTTATTTCATTCCTCTCAGAGTGTGATTTCCTATTACCCCAGAGAGGACTTGATGAGTACATGCGTAGCAGCATGGCTCTGGATTGGCTGGGGCGGGAGCAGAGGTCAGCGGGGCGCCTGGGGGAGGAGCTGCAGGTGGCGCAGAGGGAGCTGGTGTTTGCCCGCCGCCGAGGCATAGAGCTGCGCTTCTACAAGGAGCGAAGACAGAGATCCTCAGCTGGCTCTGAGTCAGGCATACATTCACCACACACCTGATGCCTTCAGTGAGGCGTCCAGGTCACCCATACAAGCAAAGAAGAACTTCCTCTACACACATTATTCAGCCACATCACAGACGTCCAGATAACCCCACCCTGCAGTCCTTTCACCAACCCCTCCAAAAAACACAAAGAAAACAGTCTGTCACATCCTCTGGCAAACCACTTCAGCTCATAACAGTCCTGCTCCGTGCTCACAGTACCACATTCTGCCTTGATTTTTAAAATAGACTGAAGCCGAAGTAAAGGATGGACTTTGTCTTGTAATAGAGCTAAAACTCCTTCACTGGAGATGTCACATCACATCTATGTAAACACAAGAGTTCTGTGAAAAGATGTGTGCTAAGTTTTGTCTAAATATTAATGTTCTAACCTTACTTTACACCTCTTTTGTGACTATAGAACAAGGAACTTGAGCTAGATAGGGTATTTAAATCTCCTACACACAGAACAAGCAGCATTCAAATTATTCCTGAAATCTATTTGCTAGATGTGGTTAAATTATAAAAAGTGTCTGGCTCTCTAAGTTTGCTAGAGCACTCTGCTTTCCTGCCTTAGCTTTTTATACTGTATCAGTTCAGTTGTGTTTTCGTTTTGCCAATATTATGATTTACTTACTTAAAAACAGGAGTTTAAAAACTTATATATTTAACCCTGTTAATATTAAATTAAAGTAATCGATAAACTAATTTATTCTACCAGAAACTCCTCTCCCTTCCCTGCCCTCACTCTTCCTTTCTTTTCTCTGCCTAGCATGTCATCTGGCATGTTAATTCCCTAATGGAAATGACTTGCCAAGGCAATTCAGGATACTGACGGACCCTGTGACAAGTTGCATGAGTGTTGGACGTATGCTATGAGACAATAATAAATGTAACACAATGATGTCATTATGTCAGAGAGAAGCTGGATATAAAATACAACCTGGTTTTGTATTTATCAGGAGACAACTCGGAATGGCTGGTCATGTCATCTTTTAAGAACTAGCACATGTTCCCATTGTAAAAATTCATAGTGATTTAGAGCATTTTGATTATCTTTGGTTGGATGGTTGGGGGAAGATGAAACATATTTTAAAGGGAAAACTGTTTTGGTTTTTTATAATTTTTTGTACAGTTTTGGAAATAAATATGTTTTGCTACTCATGACCTGCTGTTGATTCACTGCTTTTTGAAGTGTAGTATGGCCTAGCTATTACAGACATGATCACATAATTTCTGAAACTGGCCCTTCTGTAAATTGAATACAATTGTTTATGTACATGAAGTATGTTTTTGATGCAAATACTTTTTTCTTTTCTGTAAGTTTATTAGATTGATGCATGAATTTTGACATGTTACATAGTATTGTACTCTTTAGTTTTTTGCTGCTTTTACTGATGTAAAATACTACGATACACTACAAATACAAAGTACTTATTATCACTGAAATCCATTGGGGTTTTCTGGCAAAAAATCTTGATATCAAAGTGATATCCTGAATCAAAATTAGATCTAGCAGCGAAGGAAACTAAACCTACCCTGGATAAACATCTTGTGCTTTGTTGAGACCACCAGACTCAGGGATAGTTTTAATCCCAGAGGCAATACGACTGCTAAACTCATGAGCTCTCCGAAGTGCCTTCATAACTTTTAAGCATTTATCTGTTCACATTCACATATGTATTTGTTATTAAAATAAACATTATTTCATTCCTGTAAGGAATTTCATTTTTACATTCAATTTGTAGCTTATTTCATTATATTGTAAATGTATATAGTTCACTTCACCTGCATTTCTTGCACATTGGTCACTTGAACCATTCTCTTGCCCTATTTTATTTCGATTCCGTTGCTTTTGCACTATTTTCAAATTGTCTTATTGTTTTATGTCTAATGTATTTAGTTTCATTGTGAAGTAGCCCGGGACTTAATGTTTTGTTTCCATTGCCAATGCCATATCTACACTGTAGATACTGTGCAAGTGACAATAACATTTTGCATCTTGAGTCGTGTATCTAGTTTGGGCTCTCTGGCTCACCGTAGAGAGGTGGAGTTGTCACGTGATTAAAGATTGTGATTGCGGAGTTTCTGAAATAAACAAAACAAATGACAGCTGACCCGCGGACGAGGCTCCTGCCGCCTGTCACTCTATTCGACTTGTGGACATCTTATTTTGATAAGGTAAGGAACAATAAAAAATGCTTTAAGCGAATAGAGTTGTTAGGAGAAAGACATTGAAACGAGCTAACATCTACGTGTTAGCTTAGCTTCGCATTGGTAAAGCGTCTACAGTTGTTTTGCTAACGACAGCTGGAGATTATTAACAGGGACTGGTTTCGTTTCTCCTGATAAGTGTTCCCTGGATATTGTATCTATGCTGAAAGACATGCTAATTGTTTCCTTGCCTTGACAGAGACATTTTTCTCAGCGGCCACAGAAGAGTGTTTTGTTTACAACCCGTGAACAGTGTTTATCTTGACAACACAGCCAGCCACTAACTGCTGCTTATCGCGGGACAGACCATGTGAGCTATTCCAGCTAATGGTTGTTTTTGTCTTTATCCGGTTAAGGTGGTGTGAAGATGTTTGTTGTCAGATGATCAGCAGTGTTTCCTCCCGGAGACATCTCGGTCAGCTGGATGTCAATGTGATCTGAGTTGTGTACAAAGCTGAAAGATGGAGGCTGTAAGACCAAAGAGGACCAAAGCAAAAACCAGCGGAAAATCTCAGGTGATCTTCTTTCTTAAGGTAGAAATGCTGTGCCTGTCAAGTTGTGGTCTTGTTAGGCAGGATAGATGTATTCAGTCCATTACAAAGCAAGAAAACACTTCTTCTCACAGCTACATGAGAGTATCCAATCAAACATTGTTTTACAGTATGTCTTAAGCAATTATGATGGAGCTGGAAAAAACTCGTTTTATATGACAGAGCTAATCACTGGGACACTATGCTGTTCCGATAATATCATTTATTAGATCTGTCATATTCATGTGGTGATGTGTTTTTGTTATGTGTTTGTGTAGAATGTCATATATTTCTTTAGTTTTCTTTTCTTCTAACATCTTGGGATCATGATGGAATTAAAAATGTCACTTTTAATTTGTTATCTTTTAGATGTTTGCTTCTGTATTTGACATAATCCATAAATGAAATCAATCAATCGTCATGGTGTTTTCACTTTAGTCACATGCTCTTTGTCACGAATCAATCAATCAATGTTTATTTATATAGCCCAATATCACAAATGTTACATTTGTCTCAGTGGACTTCACAGTAGGTACAGAATATCAGTATGACAATACGACACCCTCTGTCCTTAGACCCTCACATCGTACAAGGAAAAACTTCCGAAGAAAACCCACAGTTTAAAGGGAAAAATGGGAGAAACCTCAGGGAGAGCAACAGAGGAGGGATCCCTCTCCCAGGACGGACAGATGTGCAATAGATGCCGTGTGTAAATTGAAAAGATAATACATTTGCAACATAGGTAGTCCAAATGTTTGGAAATGCATGTGTGTATAATAGGAAGATGAATCCACGAGGATATCCATCCAGGACCTATGATCCCAGGACCCACAGCCACGACTCAAGATCCAGGGCTCGCGATCCAGGACAGAGGAGCGCAGGATCATCCATGACTCTGGATCCCGGCGTATATAGACACCAAAAAGAAAGAAATTTGGGGAAGCTGGGTTAATCGGAACATGAGAGTACACAGGTATAGACAGAGAAAATATATCAGCAAAACTAGGGGCTGAATCTAATCAGCCCTAACTATAAGCTTTATCAAAAAGGAAGGTCTTAAGCGCACTCTTAAAAACGGATAGGGTGTCTGCCGCCCGAACACAAACTGGAAGCTGATTCCACCAAATGTGGAGCTTGATTAAGAAAAGGCTCTGGCTCCCATTGTACTTTTAGAGACTCTAGTAACAACCACCAACCCTGCATTCTTGGAACGCAATGCCTAGTAGGGACAGTAGGGTATAATGAGTTCTTTAAGGTAGATGGCGCCTGCCCATTAAGGGCTTTGTAGGCGAGAAGAAGAATTTTAAATTCTATCCTGTGTTCTATAGGGAGCCAGTGTAAGGCAGCCAGAACAGGAGTAATGTGGTCCCCTTTTCCTAACTCTGGTTAGTACACGAGCTGCAGCATTTTGAATCAGCTGAAGCGACTTGACTGACTTCTTGGTACACCCTGATAATTAAAGAGTTACAATAATCCAGCCTTGAAGTAACAAATGCATGGACTAGTTCTCTGCATCGTTTTGAGGCAAGATATGCTGATTTTGCAATGTTACGTAGATGGAAGTAGGCGGTCCTTGAAATTGATTTTTATGTGGGCGTTAAAGGATAAATCCTGATCAAATTATAACACCACGATTCCTTACAGTCTCACTGGAGGCCAAATTAATGCCATCCATAGTTAGTATATCCTTAGATAATTGTGTTTCGTAGATTATTCGGGCCAAGTACAATAACTTCAGTTCGGTCGTGTTTAACACTCAAAAGTTTAAGGTCATCCACGTTTTTAAGTCCTTGAGGCAGTCTTGAATTTTATTTAGATGATTAATTTCATCAGGCCTGATTGATAATATAGTTGAGTATCATCCGCATAACAATGAAAATGTACAGAATGATTCCTTTATAATATTGCCTAACGGAAGCCTATATAATGTGAACAAAATAGGTCCGAGCACTGAGCCCTGTGGCACTCCATGGCTAACTTTGGTTTGCGTGGAAGACTCATCGTTGACACGTACAAACTGAGAGCGTTCAGATAGAATAGGACCTAAACCAGCCTAAAGCAGTTCCTGTATGCCAACTAAGTGCTCTAGTCTTTGCAATAAGATATCATGATCGATAGTATCAATGCAGCACTGAGATAGAGCAAAACAAGAATAGAGACACGTCCCTTGTCAGATGGCTATTAGAATGTCATTGTGACTTTAACCAGAGCTGTCTCTGTGCTATGATGTGTTCTAAAGCCAGACTGAAAATCTTCAAATAAATCATTGTTTTTTAAGTAATCACACAGCTGTTTTGCGACTGCTTTCTCAAGAATTTTTGAGAGGAACGGAAGATTAGAAATAGGTCTATAATTGGGCTTAAAACCGCTGGATCGAGGTTGTGCTTTTTAAGAAGCAGTTTTATCACTGCTACTTTGAATGATGTGGAACATAGCCTGATAATAAAGGACATATTCATAATATTTAATAAAGTGCAATTAATGGAAAAACTTCGTTCAACAGCCTTAGTGGAATTGGGTCTAACATACACGTTGATGGTTTAGAAGAGAGAATCATTGACTTTAATTGTTCAAGGTTTATGCTGAAAAGCATTCTAGTTTACTATCTAGTGTAATATTAGAACTTACATTTCCGGGAGCTGTTGATAACACGATACTGGTCAAGGCAAGAGGTCATTAATTTTGTTTCTAAGAGTAACAATTTTATCGTTTAAAAAAGCACATAAAATCATTACTACTGAGTGCTATGGGAATAGAAGGCTCAATATGGCTCTCTGTCAGCCTGGCTACAGTGCTGAAAAGAAATCTTGCATTATTCTTATTCTCATCTATTAATGAAGAGTAGTAGGCTGCTCTCGCTTTACGCAGTGCTTTCTTATATTCATTGAGAGTAATATGCCAAATTAAACGAGATTCTTCAAGTTTAGTGGAACGCCATATCCTTTCAAGTTGTCTCGACTTTTGCTTTATTTGCGGGTTCGGCATTATGCCATGGAGCTAATCTATGTTGTTTTATTTTCTTCTTTTTCAAAGAGCAACAGAGTCTAATCTATTCGCAGCGCATCTGTAGCACTATCAACAACATGAACAATTTGGGGTGGTGTACATTTTGTATAAGTTTCCTCCCTTACATGCAGACATGCTATCGAGTTAAGTATTGGTGGAATCTCTTCCTTAAATTTGGCTATAGCACTAACAGATAGGTTTCTGCTGCAGGAGCTTTTGACTAATGCTTTGTAGTCTAGTAACAGTACTTCAAAAGTTACTAAGAAATGGTCGGATAAAGCAGGATTATGCGGTTCGACTAATAGTTGCTCAATGGGAAAAATGACATGTGTAGTGACCCACGATATCCATTTGTTTTTTGTCCTTTGTTTGTGATTCACTCGTGGGGCTGACCGAGGAATAGAGCTTTGTAGTTGAGAGAAAAAAATATAGAAATGTCCAGATGCGATTGAAAAGTAAGATAGTCTTGTGTCCTGGATCGCGAGCCCTGGATCTTGAGTCGTGGCTGTGGTCCTGGATCATAGGTCCTGGATGGACATCTTCCTATTATACACACATGCATTTCCAAACAGTTTGGACTACCTATGTTGCAAATGTATTATCTTTTCAATTTACACACAGCATCTATTGCACGTCTGTCCGTCCTGGGAGAGGGATCCCTCCTCTGTTGCTCTCCCTGAGGTTTCTCCCATTTTCCCTTTAAACTGTGGGTTTTCTCCGGAAGTTTTTCCTTGTACGATGTGAGGGTCTAAGGACAGAGGGTTGTCGTATTGTCATACTGATATTCTGTACGAACTGTGAAGACCACTGAGACAAATGTAAATGTGTGATATTGGGCTATATAAATAAACATTGATTGATTGATTGATAGTTTATTCCAAAAAAGGCAAAAATAAATAACGTTTTTAAACAAACTATTTGTCATATAAACTGATACTTCAATGTTAAAGGCACAAGAACCAAGCTGTGACGCTCCCAACCAGCAAGGTCTAAAAAACTGTTTGCTTCAGTCAGCCACACCAGTAGGCTCCTTTTATGCTGCAGCACCTCAACCTGCAGGAGTAACGACTCAAATTAAATAATAAATCATATACACCATAGAATCTCAGGCTATGTACTCTAAAAGAATAAAATAATATAAACTAAGGAAATGGCTCCTACACCCTGAGTTGTTGACCAATTACTTTTAAGAATGTATTTGTATCTGGATTTGTTTTTCTACATGTTTTCAGCTGGTCAAGAAAGCAGAAGCAGGCCGAGGAACACAAAGGCGCCACAGCTCCCTCAGCTATTTTTGTGATGAGGCCTTCACTGACAATCCCCCTCAGCCTGTCCTATCAGGAGCCAGTGGAGGAGCAACGGGACTCAGTTCAGACCCCCAAGATCACAGCACAGCCATCAGATCGACCCTCTGAGAAACCATCAGACGTCCTCATCACATACTTTATCCACATCAGTTTTAACTCAGACTTTTACAGTCACCGCTGACGCCACAGGAGACGGTACTCTGACAGAGTCAAAAGATGAGGAAGAGAGGAGGATTGGGGAGTTTGCAGATCAGGGGCCGAGCCTTAAAGTAGAAGAACAGAACACTGAGTTAGGAAATGACACACAATCATGGACCAGCCTTGTGTTTCAACTCGGTTTCAGATTCCCCACATGCCCCGAGTGCCCCTGCACTGTACCCATGTCTCCCAACCCTGGAGGAAGGCCCCATGATGTCGCTCTGTCAAGAAGCCGTGAAACGAGAGGGAGAAAGGACCTGCAGTGTTGGCGCTTCCTGAGCAGGAGTCCTCCCTTCCAAGTTTTCAGCTTGTTGAATCTGTTGCAGAACTTTCTAGGAGCAAACTTTACCCAGAACTACCCAAGACGGCTCCAGAAATGCAGGTACTGTGATCTCATTCACCAAGCGGGGACATCAAATTAGATTGTTCCGGCTGTGGGTTGTTTTATAAACAGAAAATGACTTAATGGGTATAACTAGAGTGTTTATTATACTCTTGGAAATGTCAGCTTATAAATAAAAATATATCCTTCTATTGCGACCTGCACATAAATTAACCACTTCAGCAGATTATTTTTGATCTCTCTGTCAATTGCCTTACCTGTGGTTATGGTTCAAACCATATCAGTACCAATTATTTTTGATAAATATATATCTTTATTACACAACATTATAATAGCACATGTAAACACATTTGAGTGCTTTTAATGCTTAGATCCAGGTATAACATAGTGAACCATTTTCTGAACTCATTGTATCCATGCAAAACATGTGAGAAAACCTCTCATCTCATGTTTTTCTTTTGCAGCCGTTCTCACTGGAGCAGCTGAGTGTGTGGGAGCCTGCCGGAGGTTTGAGGGCCTTGTTAGAGGGTGTGGAAGTGTGTTGCAGCCCATTTTGTGGGCCTTGCCCGGCAGGAGAGAACCACGAACTGACCGAACTACTGCAGAACTACTGGCGCTGTCGTTAGACAGCTGACTCAGTCACACACACAGCTCCACACACAGTCCCTCGGACTGCAAGAGCACTCAGGAATCGTCTCTGGAGCTTCAGAGATGAACAGCTCACACTTCAGGTATGGTGGTTAAACACATAAATATAGTTTGTAGGGAAACAACAAACTAATGTCCTTTTGCTCTAATGACATTGTTGTTATAAATTCTTCTCTACAGGGTTTGTTGTGCAGATCAGTCGAAGGTGTGTGGATACCACCGGCTTCCAGCAGGCAGAGTTCAGTCAGAGTGTGGCTGGCTGAGCTGAGCAGACTGTTTGAAGCTCGCAGTGAGCTGCTCCATCAGAAGGTGGCGCTTCATGCCTACACTGCTCTTGCTGTCTCGCCTCCAGGTGGAATCATACTTGTACCGTCTTCTAAAAGGTGAATACATTCCTATTCACCAAAATGTTGCTCTAAACAGTAAAGCCAATGTTGAAGTGCCCTCAAAATGTCATTGTAAAAAGAAGAGTAATTGTACAAAAGCCTTTGAAAAAATTACTTCACTGATTTATTGCCTCAGTAAAATGTTCTCTCAAGGTCCCTTGAAACGAGCGATTGAGAACTTAAACTCAATCTCTATTTTCAAGTGACCACCACAACTCCTGACATACAGCCCACGCACAACTCTACATCAGCTATGTGTTTTTATTTTTATCAGATTGTTCCGGCAGCAAAACACAGCCTTGTTCTCTGCAACCCTTGAAAGATGGCAATCAGTGTCCTGTTTCAGCTTCACTCGTAGAGTCCTGGATGACACACAGTTCCAGACAGACATCCATCAATGGCTGGAGAGATTGGTACTCATACACACACAAACACGTTCCATACTCTTGGTTACATTGGTTGACGTTTGTTGTTGCTTCAACTGGTTGTGGTTTGTACTCTCCAGGTGGCGGTGCTGCTGCATGTTGGAGGGTCAGGAGAGCACCTGTACCTGCTGTGCCATCTTCTCTGCTCTCCTGCGGGGGTTGGCAAATGGGCTGCCACCCTTCCTTCAGGTTAGTAACACACACACACAATATATCATTATTGTCATTTATTAGTTGTTTTACATACTGACTGGAGTTTTCTTTCCTATTTCTGCCTCAGATACAAGTTTGGGGAAACACCAGTGGAGTGCAGCACTTTATGCAAGCTCTGGCCGTCCTTATGTCACCTGCAAGGTAAATATTGAACCCCATGTGGCGATTACTCTTTCTAACCCGCTCACTGTTAACAGTTCAGTATTTATTTCTTTGGTTGTCCAAGATATTCTTTCAGGGTCTAACAACCTCACATCTCTAACCAGTGACTTCTGTGTTTTGACTCAGACACCGTGCAGAGTTTCTGGGACATCTGAAGCCATGTGAGAGCCAGAGCTCAGCAGCCTCTGGACCCGCCTCTGGCAACTGGACGCTAGTGGATGAAGGGGGGGGAGGAGGTATGTATAGACAGGCAATATCTGCATTTTGAGAAAAGAAACAAAACTCCGACATCACAGTTTTAAAACAGATAATTATCTCAATAAGTCAATATGTTGGACAACTGTAGATGCTTTCATGGTCAAATTGAAAAGTTGTTCATAAGAAAACAGCCAATAACCAATTTATTTCTTCTATATGATTCCATTAAATAATAAGTAGAACACTTAATACTAAAAGAAAGTATATGTTCTGTTTTGCCTCACTTATTGCATTGCCATTATATTAAAAAGTAAACAGTCTGCATGTCTCTCAAGAAAATGCGATGTGTCACTGAGGATGTCAGATGATGAATATACCAGAACGTTCCGGTCTTTGTTCTCATCTGCCGAGTCATATTTAAAGCTGTTGTATGAAAATAATAATAATAATAATATATAATATTTTTATAGCGCCTTCAGGAAACCCAAGGTCGCTTTACAAGTCGGGTAGGGGGGGGGGAGTAGGGGGGAAAAAAGGCAGACAGGTTAAGGGGGGGGGGGGGGGGGAAGTAGCGGAAAAATAAACCTATTAAACTAACCATACAGTGGCGAAAGCCTTGGTAAAAAGGTGCGTTTTTGAGGGCTTTTTTGAAAATGTCCAGGGTTGGGGCGCTGCGGATTTCGGGGGGGAGAGAGTTCCAGAGGGTGGGGGATGCCACACTGAAGGCTCTGTCACCAAAAGTCCGCAACCTGGTGTCAAATCACCTTTGAGCATTTAAATATCAATCTTCCTTCTTAAAGCACGAATGCTGCCGGTACTAATGTTTTACTAGGAACCACTTTGGGAACCTTGGAAAAATATATGTTTTTTTACAAAACATTAACATTTGAAGTTACCCTTCATTGAATTTGTATGTAATCATTTTGTAAACTTTCATATTTGTGTTATTCTTTTATGTATGTAATTAACATTAGTAGCCTTCAATTGCATCTTGCTTTTAAAACGTTTTACTGCCTAACGAAGGATCAAATAAAGCCCATCATGTGGTTCTTTTTTTTCAATATTTACAAGCACAAACAGAAAAAAGGCAACACACAAAAAACAACCCCCCAAAAAACTAAAAACGTACATTACATACATGCTAAACTAGATAATGAACTACCAAAGATATGACAGCATGACAGCACTTAAAGCAAAGAAGTACATACATAAAAAATAACCTTTTAATCTGCGTTTGTCTTCTCTGTGTTTAGGACGAGGACCCAGACAGCAGCTGGGTGTTGCTTTGTGAGGAGGATCTGATCTCCCTGCTCACACAGTTCCCGTTCCAGCAGCTCTATTCACACATGCTGGGGATGAGCAAGCAGGGTAAGGGTCTGTCTGTCTGTTTGTCTGTTTGTCTGTCTGTCTGACTGTCTGTCTGACTGTCCGTCCCTCTGTCTGTTCCGTCCGGTCCGTCTGTCTGTCTGTCTGTCTGACTGTCCGTCTGTCTTACTGTCTGACTGACTGACTGCCTGTATGTCCGTCTGTCTGTCTGTCCGTCCGTCCGTCTGTTTGTCTGTCTGTCTGTCTGTCTGTCTGTCTGTCTGTCTGTCTGTCTGTCTGTCTGTCTTGTCTGGTCTGTCTGTCTGTCTGTCTGTCTGTCTGTCTGTCTGTCTGTCTGTCTGTTCTGTCTGTCTGACTGTCCGTCTGTCTGACTGTCCGTCTGTTTGTCTGTCTGTCTGTCTGTCTGTCTGTCCTGTCTGCCTGTCTGTCTGTCTGTCTGTCTGTCTGTCTGTCTGTCTGTCTGTCTGCCTGTCTGTCTGTCTGACTGTCCGTCTGTTTGTCTGTCTGTCTGTCTGTCTGTCTGCCTGTTTGTCTGTCTGTCTGTCTGTCTGTCTATCTGTCTGTCTGTCTGTCTGTCTGTCTGTCTGTCTGTCTGTCTGTCTGTCTGTCTGTCTGCCTGTCTGTCTGCCTGTCTGCCTGTTTGTCTGTCTGTTTGTCTGACTGTCCGTCTGTCCGTATGTCTGTCTGACTGACTGTCCATCTGTCTGTTGGTTTACCACTCACTGTATCAACTGACACCCCCACTTCCCCCCCAGGTGTGTACGAACCCCAGGCCTATTCCAGTCAGAAGATGATGCGTGTTTTTGCTTTTGCCTCCTCACTCATCGAAATTCTCACTCTTGGTCTACAAACCTACAACAGGGCACGATACAGACAGCTGGTTAAACGCATAGGACACATCATACGGTCAGAGCACCAATGATATACACTAACAACGCACATGTATCATATAACCTTAAATATTCATAATGTTGTCTTATCTCCGTTTCCTCAGAATCACAGTGTGTTACGTCAGTGATCACTGGGCCCAGTATGTGAGTGTAGCTGGTGCTGGTGGATCCAGCTCTCATGGACACACTCTGTCTTTAGACAAACTGCAGGTGGAATACGACAATCTCTTCCTCAGAGCTGTTTTACATGTGCTCAGAAATAAAGGTGAGAAATTAACCTTTGTTTTGATTTCAACTCGATTTCGTTTTTACTGAATTGACATTTATACTCTGTGGTCCTCCCTCACAGGTTGGGCATTTGGTTGTTTATGTCCGAGATGCCGTATGGGACCCTGTCCAGCTCCATGCTGTGGAGGGTCCTTTATGTGATGCAGTGCGCAGAGACAGCAGGACTGGAAACTCTCGGCACTGCTAATGACACACGCTCCTGCATCCAGGCTCTTAGAGGTACCAGTATACACTCGTAACCTGGAAAATATGATCTTTCAAATCTTAAAATATTTAACTAGCATGGGCATTGTAGTAATGCTTAGATGGTACCCCACAGCTTCATCACATTGTTGAAGACTGGTGGTGTTTTACTTATCTCAAACTACTCAAACTCAATTGCTAAGACAATTCTATCTATTGAATTGAAATTGTAACCATATTCAAAAAAGTTGGTTGTGTTATTAATCATTTTCTTTCTTCTGTTACAGATCTAGAGCATCAGGACAGGTTTGAGCACTGGCTGTGTGAAGTGAACAGCTCTGATGGCATCTCCCTCCTCACTGCATTAGCACACATGGCGACACCGACTCAGCACTCTGACCCTGCATTCATCACAACCATAACTCTGCTGGTGTACCAGGTATAAAAGGAGAACATACTAGGAGCGGCAGGTATAAAACAAAGATGTAGAGTAATTTACATTTTAAACAAAACTGCTTTATTTACTGTATAGTACATCATATAAACACTATTCTTTTTATTAAAAAAGTGCCAAGGTAACCTATGTGAAGGAAGGTATCATAGAACAAATTGAATGTTTTACAGTTAAATAACACTGGAGAAAGATTCATCATCCTGGTCCTTTGGGTGGGAACCATACAGTATCTACATTGTTCTTTGACACTCTTTTAAAATGTTTGTTTCCAGGTGTCTTATGTGAGTGTGTCTACCAGAGAAACTTACTCTAAAGTGGGCAGGGAGTTGCTGGCTGCCATTGCTACAGCCCATCCCTTTGTCATCTCTGTTCTCCTGGAGAGACTGAGAGAGACCATCCAATCTGTGGGAATGGTTAGTATCTCTTCTCTATATTCTATCTAAAGGAAAATATCTAATTTGCCATTCACATCCAACTCATGACTTTCTCTTTGTGTGTGTTTGTGTGTTAGGTGGCTCTGTACTTGTGCAAAGAGCTGCCTCTGAGTCTGTGGCGGCCTCGGCAAGAGGAGATATGTGTGATCGGAGCCTGGCTGCTCCAGCACCCTCTGTCCACTGTGGAGAACCGGCTGGCCTGCGTCGTCCTGGAGGGTCTTCACTGGGATTACACACAGGTAGTCAGTGACTCATTGACTGTGACCAGATATCTCCAGTACAGTTATGGGTTTGTAGTTGAACCTGTTTCCTCTTGCAGGACGGCTCCTTGGCTTTGCCTTCATCTCTCCACAGTGAAGTGGCTCTGCTGGTGGCTGAAGCCTATCAGAAGTATCTCACTGACAAACCGTACAGTGGCCTGATATCAGAGGGAATCAAACAGGTGACACGCCCGCTCTTTGCTGACAGACCTTCAGAATCACCATGGCTTGTTTCCTTTTTCACCTTTCTGTCCTCCTCCCTCCAGGTGTCTTATCTCGCCAGTGTCCTTCGTTTGGGCGTCTCTCCTGAGGCATCCTTTAGTCAATGGGCTTGGCAACTGTTGCTAAGGCTTAAGCTCCATGGCAACACCCAGAACTTTAAAGGAGCCTGGTCCATCGCGGCTTTGGCGTCCAACCCGCCTCCAGAGCTCACACACACTCCCAGCATGCACTCTGTTCTCAGGGCTGTAAAAGCAGGCATCCCTATTGGGTGCTACCTGTCCATTGCCATGACAACAGTGGGGCATAGGTTTGTACTCACCCACACCATGCCTGATACTTAAGCTTGATTTATACATACAATTTAAATTAAAGCAAACGAGGAACTTTCATTTTATGTCGATTCTGGATGTATATACAATAGGTTACGTATCTATGTGTGGATATGTATTAATAATAACTGTAATATGACAATTGTCAAACAAAGATAACCTTGTTTGAGCCACGAACATGAATACATAAATTCATATATTGATGTATTACCATCTCTTGCTATTAATTTTAAACATAAATGATACACATTATATCCCAGTCTAGCAGGAATAGCTCTAATTCAGTCATCAGCATTAGATTGTTCAATAAGTAGTTAAAAACTCCTTGTAGCTACTTTAAGTTAATCTCCTGTTGTTTTTTTGTTGTTGTTTTTTTCTAGTCTGGAACACTTTTGCACTGATGGAGTCGGCTTGTTGAAAAGTCTGATACAATCTCGCCACCTGAGAGCCGCTGTGCATCTTCTCGACAACATCTTACCCCCCACCTACCCTCTCAGCTTCTACCTGCTGAATAACTCTCAGTAAGAAAGATACATCCTTCACACACAGCCCATAAAATATATTTACCAACACTTACATTTGTTCTTTATTGCAGGTTTGTGAGTTGTATCCAGTTGTTCTTGCAGTACGACAGTGTGTGTCCTCAAGGTGTGACACAGCAGGTCACACATCGGGTCGCACCCCTCCTCACAGGAACAGCCTATGGAGACAATGTCCGACTGCTGAACAGTGTCATTCAGGTTTGTCCCAAGCTTTTATTATAATAATGTATTTCAAGTCAACATCTAGGGCTCATATGAGAGAATATGCATACATGTGTTTGTTTATCTCTCAGAGTCATGTGGTGGAGAGCTCAAAGCCCGGCCGTGTTGGTGCTGCAACGGTGCTGGAGTTTTGGTTGGGGATTTTGACCCAGCAGAACCTTTGGTACCGGGACAAAACAGTCCTGTTCCTCCTGGATCAGATCTGCTGTGCAGCATTCACACACCATCAGGAGGAATGTTTGCAGAAACTCCTGTACCAACAGCACAAGGTATTTACTCAGTGGTGTTAGAGGTTTGCATTATTTAGGGGCTTTTTAGGTCTCATAGGTGCATATGATAAATGAAGCATTGTAAACCGCCTGCAGTCACATTATAAATATAAATATTACATTAACATTAAAGGGCCCCACATTAGAGTTTGAGAAAGAGCTAATTAATTAGGGATGCTGAACAATTACCTTTCACTCATTAAGCTTTAAATCACATTATGGTAACATTATTATTAAAAGAAAAACGTGCCCACTAGGATTCAGCATTTCCATCAGGGGAACTTCAGGGACCTAGCACCAGGTAATAAGCACAGTTTCACAAACAATAGCTGTAACTTTTCCCATTTTTTTGTACCTCTTGTAGAATGCCTTGGGTTACCATGGAGATCGTGGTCTGCTCTCCTCTCTGGTTGGCTGGATTGCTGGAAATGCCACGCCCTCATTCGTAGAGGGCCAATCCCTGAGTGCAGAGGTGAGGGACCCCAGAGCACCATCAGTACGTGCTAGAACTCTCGATCACATCAGTGAAGTTCTCCTCACTCGTCTGTGTGTTTTTAGGTGTGGTTCGCCTGGCTGGTGCTGAACATGGAGGGCCTGTTCGAGGAGGATTCTCAGCTCAGACGCTGTGTTGAAAATGAGCTTCTGTCTGAGCCCAACATTTCCCCTGATCAAGCCTTAAAGGTATACAGATATATACTCAAATGTATACATTTGTTGATTTGGACATATCAGGATTACTGTTGGTAATTTCAATAGTTTACTATCACCGGGCACTGAGAATTTACAAGATGTTTTACAATACAGCACACGAAAAAAATGTGTCCTCGATATTGCACTGTTGGACATTTTACTAAGCTAAAACAGAATACTTGCAAGGTCAAAGGGCAGTGGCATGGTAGTGAGTGTTTTGCGGTTTTGGTTATGTTTTTAACCCTGTGTCTGTGTCTGAGCCAGAAGGCGCAGCAGAGGCTGAAGCTGCCGGTCGCTCCGTCTCTGCAGCGGCTGCAGGTTTACCGCTGGGCGTGTCAGGCCTTGGCCACGCCTCCTGACCACCCCATCCTCCCGCTGGTGTGGCAGAAGTTTCTGCAGCTCTACTTCAGACAGCCGGGACCGGAGTATGGGTACGATGCACACACAGTACTATCCCTAAACTAGGAACTATGCAATATCAAAATCTAATTTTGTTTTCTAACATACATTTTTTCTGTAATCTCGGACTAAGGATGGCAATTGTTTTACTGTAGCGGTTGGTCTTAACGTGGCTCTAATATGTGTTGATGTCATGTATACCATCTCATACATTTCTTACATTTCTCGATGTGTTCTGTTTCTCCCGCCAGCTTGATTAAATCAGGTTGAAAAGAGATAGAACAGAATATATTTGATAAATGCAGAGCAAGTCTACATTCAATATTTAATGGCCCCCAAATGACCAATGTTATGTTGATATTGAGTTATTATTTATGATGTAGGCAAATAACTAATGTTGCCTCATTGTTATTCAGACTTGCATCCAGAAGAAAGTTAAATTAAAATTGTAATTAAATATTTGAAAATATATTGATATTATAAACAGTTGTGTTTCTTCTGTATTCTGTAATGATGTATTGAGTGTGCCTGGAAGGGACAATTCAAGAGATGTGAACAAAGTAACTGTTTGGACATTTGGAGTAATACTTCTTTACCGTTCTTCTTGTTTATTTATGAGTTGTAAATGGTCATGGAAATTTGAAAAGTTTAAAATCCACAATTGTGTAAAGGAACCAATCGTCTTTTTCTATGTGTCCTCCACCAGGCTGGCTGCAGGAGGATGTATCGGCCGGCGGTTTTTCCAGGCGTCTTCTCAGGCCGCTTTACTCAGAGATCTGAGACAGAGAATACAGGAAGTGTCTGACTTCCACCACGCAGCCAGCCAGGCCCTCAGGGTGCCCCCCCCACACACACCCTCACCAGACAGCCAGGGCGAAGAAAGCCCTGGCAGTCCTCGCCTCCCTTACCTCACTTCTCCTCATCTTCACACAGAGCTGGTCAGGTAGGTCACTGATGTTTAATGTGTGCACTCAAATACACCCTTCCTGTTGTTTGGCTGCCAGTAGTGTGTTACCAGGCTTCTAAATCTCCAATGATTTGCTGCCTACAGGTTGTTTGGTGTGTTTGCCATGTGGTTGGATGATGAAAATCTACAGAAGCAGGAAGTATATCTTCCCTCTCTTCCTCCCGAGTATGAACCACACAGACTGGCACAGGTCATGCAGCGGCATCAGGTGGGTTTCTCTTTGTGTGTTTATAACATTTAAGAATGAGGTACATTCTACATGTGGTACAGCGGTTGTAACAGTTTAGTAAAAACTGTCACATGTAGATGGTACGTTTCAGTATGTATTGTATTGTTTTGCTCTAGGAACTATGGCTGGAGTATGTGGACCAGGAACGTATGCAGTATGACGAGAGAGAGGTTCTGTCTCTGTGGGAAAAGGTTCAGAGTGAGCCCATCTTCCTGCAGGCCCAAAACCCCGGCTTCACCGACTACACCAGCCTCAAGAATGGTACACAGCCAAAGTTTAATATACAGATCCAAAAGATTACAGAAAGTTTAACTCCAGCAGATATGTAAATGTTGAACATAATAATTACTTTTTCTTAGTATTAACTATCTTTATTGTTGTGCTTTGTGTCTCTGTGTGCAGCAAGAGAGCGAATCTTGTCCAACCTGCAGAAGCATCCAGTTCCCTGTCCTGCTCCAGAGCTGCAGAAGCTAAAGCCTCCAGTAGCTGAAGTCCCCACCACCTGCCTCACTGACTCTAAAGCTGCTGCTGAACTGCTGCAGCAGGACCTCCGCATCCTGCAGGATCAGGCCAGGTACATGGGGGTCCCACACATATTGAAACATCATCAGTAGGGCCAACATGCGCACACACAGACCTGCTGTCACTTGGTTCTACTCAAACAAAATGCTACACATTGAAATATGAAAAAAATACTTGTTCATCCTGTTGCAGGATTTCAGTTACACGTGAAGCTCAGCAGGTGGCGATGGAGCAGGAGCTGCTGGAGAGCCTTCCTCTGCTGTATAAGAACCAACCGGAGCAGGTCACCATGGCGCTGGAGTGTAAAGGGAAGGGCGGGCAGCCGTGCCAGGGACCTGCAAACATCACTGTCACAGTACGACCACTAAAACTCCCTACCAGCCACATTTTATAATTTCCTTGCCATGATATATTAATGTGTTTGTGTGTCTTCTCTGTAACTGCGTAGTGTGAGCGCGTCCAGAGACAGGAGGCAGTGCAGACTCAGATAACGTCACTGCGCAGGGACGTCAAGAAGCTTCAAGCTGACGCCATGGCGCCTCCACCTCAAAGCCTGGCCCAGGCTGCGGTCCACACAGAGAACTTTATCACGTCAGTATAAACAGAAACCACATCACAATAAATATAATTTTCGAAACTAACAGAACAAGTTTTTCATTCTGGGGTTTTGACTAATGCATTTTTTTGTGTTCAGCGCTCTGGTGAATATATATAAGGCACAGAAGTTACCGGCAGTGCAGCATGTCGGCGTGTCCGCCTTCTACCAGGTGGTCTCCTTTGTGTGTGAAGACACACTGCGACATCCCCCAACACGCCAGTACCTCTCCTCATGTGTGGAGATACTGGGACAGGTGCGCATACACACACAGAGCAGTACAAGATTTATTTTAAGCATTGTTTAACTTTATTTTGAATGCACAAAGTAAATATCTAAGTTTGTGAACCCTACTTGAACCAGAAACACTGCTGCTCAGGGATTAACTAGGACACAGCTGTGACTAAGCAATTGCTAAAAGGGGCCGGTTTACTCTCATTACTCTGTTCAGCCTTTACAATTATAATTGGTAACTTTATTGAAATTGACTTGTTGTCTTGTTTTCTACAACGATCAATATATCCTGACAGTCATGCATGTGAGGATTCCAATGAGAGCACTGGGGGAAAAGAGTGAAACATGACTCTGTTAAAATAAAGTTTTATAAAACATTTTTTTTACAGAATCACTAGCATAGCCTCAAATTAATAAAACTTGCATGAATTGACTGACATTATATTCTTGTTTTGTGTCCAGGTGTTTATCCAAGGCAATGCAAATGAATGCGGTCCTGTCCTGAAACGGATCCTGGAGCACAGGCGTCTCTGCCCGCTCATTTCCCCGTTCTTCACTCCCAACTCAGCACCCACTCAGCTGGTGTTTCTCTACCAAGACGTGGTGACATCCTTACACCCTGACAGTGCTGATGTCATTTTCATGCTGCTCACAAAGGTCAGCCTGGACACAAATGAAACACAGTGAAGAAATACAATATGTCTTAAGCAGCCCAGTCACAGTAACCCCCTCTACCTCTCCCCATTCAGTTTGATTTGTCCCAGTGGCTGAATGAATCCCATCCTGTGTTTTCGGAGAGGACCCGTTTGCTGGAGCTGGTCCACGGAGCTCTCTGCGTCTGCGGGCGAGACCCTGAACCAGAATTTCTTACACCTTTCCACCTTTTCACCAAACACTGGACCTGGCTTCTACGCCACCATTTCCCTGATCATTACAGTGACTGCCTGCGTCTTCTTATGACCAGTAAGTGTGGTTCCTTGTTGTGTGTAGATGTTTTAAACTGATTAGTCAAATGACTTATGAACCCATAAAGCCACAACTTGAACTTGAAAGACAACTTTTACTCAATCAATCATCAATTGTGTGTTTTTCCTCAAACAATTGCCTGTAGAACACTACATGAAAAGTTCAGATCATTGGTGATTGATTGATTGATTGATTGAAAAGTTTATTAACAGCTTGTATATTGGGTACGGTACAGTACAGTACAGCTCAAAACATACAATTGTTAAGGGGATGCAGACCAGAGAAAGACTTTCGTCTTGTTTACATCAGGGTCCCCCATTTCCAATTCATCATGTCATTTAAGACATATAAGACATATTTGACATACAGATGGCTTATTTACAATTTACATACAGGTGGTTTTTTACATACAGATTGCTTATTTACAATTTTCATTTTAGATTTCGTTCTAATACATCCTAACCGGACATTTAAGACATACCAAGTCTACAGATATACAGATAGTAACAGAGTCTAAAATAGGAGTATATACATAGATGGGGGGGGGGGGGAAGCTGTCCATTGAACGACAGGTTGAGATTTGTACCATTACCGGGGCCAGTTTTGCAATGCTCTCCCCCGAAGGTGCTCTTTAAGAGAGGTTTTGAAGGTAAGTATAGTTTTACTTTCCTTTACAGTTGTGGGAAGAGCGTTCCACCTTGATGTGGCATAATTGCGAAACGTGTATTCCCCCTTTTTTGTGCCAAATCTGGGTTTCACATGATTTGTGGAGCTCCCTCTGGTGTTATGATCATGGTATTCCTTGACCTTTGGGAAGAATTTTGACATGTACATGGGTACCATAGAGGTGTAGTGGATCTTGTAGACCAGGCCCATTGCAAGTAGCTGTACTCTGTCGTCTACTCTAAGCCATCCTAGGTTGTCAAAGTGGGCAGAGGTGAGGTGGGTTCTAGATGAAAGGTCAAGCAGTAGTCTGACCAGTTTATTTTGCGATGTTTGACATTTTATTTTTAGCGCCTTGGAGGTGCTATGGTACCATGACGTGCAAGCATAGTCACAGTACCCTTGAATGAGTGCTCCTGCCAGAGTTTTCAGGGTGTTTTTGTTTACCAGAGAGGAGATCCGGTATAGGAATCTAGTTCTTTGATTGACTTTTTTTATTACATTGGATGCCATTTTGTCACAGGAGAGGTTTGCCTCAAGAATAGATCCTAGGTATGTAATTTCCTTCTTACTTGTGACAATAATGTCGCCCACTGCAACTGAGAAGTCGTCGGATTTGCTGAGATTATGTTTCGAACCGAAGAGAATGGACTCTGTTTTACCCAGGTGTAATGATAATTTATTATCGGCGAGCCAGGTGCAGATTCTGCCGAGCTCGGAGCTGAGGGTTTTTTCAACCTGCAACCTGTTCCTGTCAGAGACCAGCAGGGCTGAGTCGTCCGCGAACAGGAACAAGTTGCAGTCACATGCTGATGACATGTCATTTACATAAATTAGGAACAGTAACGGACCTAATATGCTTCCTTGTGGAACACCACAGCTCACTGGGAGGGGGGGGGACAGAGTACCGTTTACCTCCACCATCTGTTCTCTCCCCTCCAGGTAGGATTGCATCCAGCTCACCGATAGTTTATCAAAACCAATTGCTTTTAGCTTGTCAATCAGAATGGGGTGATTGACAGTGTCGAAAGCCTTTTGTAGGTCCAGCATCACCATGCCGCAGTACTTGCCCTCGTCCACCTCTTGTTTGATGTGGTCGCTCAAATAAAGAAGGCATGTGTCAGTGGAGTGGGATGTTCTAAAGCCAGATTGAAATTCATAGATTAGTTTATTTTCCGCGAGGTACTTTTCGACCTGTTCATATACTATTTTTTCCATGACTTTCGAGATGGAGGTAAGTATAGAAACAGGGCGGTAGTTGCCTGGGTCCAATTTGCTGCCCTTTTTGTGCAGGGGGGTTACTCTTGCAATTTTGAAGTCTTTGGGTACTTTTCCCTGTTTTATGGAGAGGTTAATTATGTGAGCTATGACTGGTGAGATGGCGGTTGCTGTGTCTCTGAGGAATTTGGAGGAGATATTGTCGTGGCCAGTGGCCTTGTTAGGTTGGAGGGCGCTCAGTTTAATGAGTACCTCTGCTGTTGTTACCCTTGCTAGACTGAAATCATCTTTGCGTACCCCTAGGTTTTTGTAGTAGGTCATGATGTGATCTACTCCAAAAAGCCCTGAGTGGGAGGGTAATTTATTTACAAGAGTTGTGGCTATGTTTGTGAAAAAAATGTTCAAGTACTTGGCCACATCCAGTTTGTCTGTGATGAGCCTGTTATCTGTCTTTATGTTTAAGTTAGAAAATCTCGTTTTGAGTTTTTTACTGCAGCCAAGCTGGTTATTGAGTAATTTCCAAAGTTCACGGGGTTTATTTTTGTTTTCCTCAGTTTTGACATTGATGAAATTCTTTTTGGCAGTTTTGATCATGGAGCTTACGTCATTTCTTAGTCTGTTTCTTTCAATTTTGAGTTCAGTCACGTGGGCCTGAAGTTCACTGCTCGTGCTTTTGGAAAGCATTGACTGACTTTTATGAAACTCAGAGCATTTTTTGTCTCTGGTTTTCATGGCGGTCAGTATGCCGGAGTGCATCCACGGCTCAGCGCGATTTTTTACCCTGGTGGTTCTTAGGGGGGCCAAATCATTGAGTATTGCAGAGAATTTGTTTTTGAAACTAAGCCATGTTTCTTCAACTTGTGTACCACTGAGCTCATCTGACCAGTCCAGGCTCTCCAGTTCTAGGTTAAAGGCCTCGCTAGAGTAGTTTTTGAGGTCTCTAGATATGACTGTTTTGTGACAGCCGGCCCTTTGTTTTAGCTTTTTGCGGGTACAGAATATCATATAATGATCACTTAACCCGCATGCTATAACCCCTTTACTGGAGATCCCGGACTTGTCAGAGGTCAGAATGAGATCAATGGTAATTTGTGTTGTTTCACATACCCGGGTGGGTTGGGTGATTAGCTGGCTGAAGCCGTGCAGATCACAAATCCTACTGAAGGACTTGAAGACGGACGTGTCTTTACGTTGCATATCCGTGTTCTAGTCTCCAATAATAATTGTCTCTACATCCCCCACATCAGCCAAACACCCATCTAATGTATCATAAAAGTCACTCTGTTCCGGTGGTCTATAGATTGTCCCGACTATTACAGATTTAGCATTGTCAAAAATAATTTCAACCCACACAGATTCAATATTTTCATGATGCAGGTCAGTACGGTTTTTGAAATTGGTGTCTTTATGTATGTACATGCAGACACCACCTCCATTCACGTTCCTGTCCCTTCTCACTACAAGATAATCTTCAATTTCAATCTCTGAATCTGTAATGGAATTGTCCAATTTGGTCTCAGAAAAGCATAATATGCTTGCCTTACCGTTCATGAATAGCTGCCTGAGTTCAGCCAGTTTGTGTCTCAGGCTGTTAGTGTTCAGATAATATGTAAATATGTAGTCCATTTTTGTTGCTTAAATGCACAATGTCGTCAGCTTGCAGATATTTGTCTTTGTCCGTTACAGCAACCGGCTTGCCGTGGTGTTTGGAGAGGTGGGGTGGTGGTGTGGGGTGGTGGTAGGGGGAGTCTTCAACAGAGGGTCCATGGCCCTGAGGTGGTCCTCAACATTTAAATATGTTTGAAAATACACATTACAGTAACATCAATCTAACTTTTAGCATTCATAAATGGACATTTACCCATTTGATTTACACAACATCACTATTCAAATCTATCCATAATTGACATTGTCTACTTGTTGTAAGTATTGTTGTTATTTTAATAGATTATATGTATACACACTATGAAGATGAGTGTTTTTTTAAGGCCCAGTTTAATATGCAACTAATTTAAATATATAATAAGTGGGGCCATGCTCCTTCTCTCTTTCAGCTAAGTGGTTCTTGGCCTTGACCACTGGTTCAGACTAAACACTAACTTGCAAAGACATCAGCTATAAAAAAAATGTATTTGTCTCTTATGCTGTGTTATAAATTGGCTGGTAATGCACCTAGGAGCAAGGACTGTTTGTTGCTCATCGTGTGATTCATCAAACGCATTCATCCTGAGAGCATGTCTCCTACTCATCTTCCCACCAACAAAAAATATAATGAATTAGTTAACAAAACCGAAGCGAGCTGAATCATTCTATCAAGCGACTGAATCAAATCCACTGAATGTGTTTGTGTGACAGACAAATAGACTGTTTTTGTTACCATGATATAAAATGATTCAAAATGAAGGCACAAATGCTGAGATCTATTATAGTACTTTTATTTCAAGAATATTAGATTTAGGTGTTTGATTTGCAACTTTTCTAACAAAACAAACCTCACCTTTCTTAACGTCACCAGGCTCCTCGGACCAGTTACTGAGTCCAGAGTGCTGGAAGGTGACCCTGCGAGTGCTCGGCTGTTTACCTCCGACCCGTAGTAGCAAGATCAAAGCTGAACCAGTACAGAGCACCCCTGATGTCTCCGGCCGTTCTGCTGGACCCACAGCTCCCTACAGATCCCACATCAGCCTCTCCCATCAGCAGGTAACTCCTGTGTTAGACCCCAAGCCTGTGTTTCAGGTCTCAGGCTCGAAAATGTCCATAACAAATGACCATAACTACACTTCTAAAATGGGAACATTAATAATATTTTTCTCAAAGTAATGATAAACCTGTGAGTTGGATGTAGAAAAGTCAGAATCAATATAGATGTTTTTTATTTTAAAGAAAATTCGGATTGAACACGATAAAAAAACTGTAAATTATAGTGTCCGTCCAAAAATTCTTTTTTACTTCTAGTGAAAACCACCCTTGGATGATGAGTTAGTAGACTAAAAGCTTTAGGAATCCAAAGTACAACATATAAGTACCCTGTATCAAGATTGATGCAAAACAAGTGACATTTGACCTTTTTAGAGAGGTTTAGCAAAAGAAACTCCACCTCTGGGGCCATTTGGGTGGAAATGGGCGTTTTTGCCGTTTCTCTGGAACCCATTGGTCGATTTTGATGATTGACATCTCTTTTTAACCGCTAGAGCCAATGGAATCGAGGGAAAGTTCCACATACACACAAGTTAAGGAGTGAGAGTGCCGCGTAGCCAAAACCGGAGCTGCAACACACTCTGGTGGCTACCATTAGCAGCTAATTTGTGTTCTCCGATTTTTGCATAAAAATTGAATTATGGATTATCAATTATTTTTTCAAAGTAACAGACACATTGGAGAAACCTATGAATTAACCTTCAGCCGCGTTTTTTCTTGTTGTAATGCCATTGAACACGGCTTTTGATCAGAATAACAGCTAAGGTGAGCATATCTCCGTGGTTTGCTACCGAAAGCTACGGTGTTGTCTGTATTTGCTTCCCCTGTCACGAGTTCTGATCGCTCAGTGATTATCCTTATATTTATATAATCTGTGGACTCTCATGATGTTATCTAAGCTTATTTGTGCAGATCCAATTAGTATATTGATCGGTATAGCTAGAGTTCTGTGCTAACGGCGTTAAGATTTTTTCGCACAGGGCTAATTCAGAGGCTCAGCGTTAGCCTTGTGTTTTTCTTTGCAAAGAAAATAAAAAATCATCAGTTAGCTGAGTTTCTTCCCGTTACATGGATATGAAACATTCATAGTTTATTAAATCTTAAGAAGCCCTCAGACACTGTTGCTTGCAGATGTTGTGGTTTCGGACCCGCCGAAGGGTCCGTGGGGTCTCAAAAAAGGTTTAAATGGCTTTATTGTCATACGCACAGCATACAGTATATACAGTGTAGACATGCAATGAAAAAGTCACAGGCCCCTCAAACTATGTGATATAAATATATATAAGAAATACAACTAAATAAAATACAATAAATGCAATCATAGTGCAAGAAGAAACTGAGTAGAAATAAAATACTGCAAGACTAATGTGCAAGTAATGCAGGAGCAGGGTTTCCCACACATAGACTATACTTGGGCGGGCCGCCCAGGTATATTAACGGCCGCCCAAGTATATTTCGCGACCCATTTAGTTTTTTTTTTTTTTTTTTATAAGTTTTTTTTTTAATATTTTTTTTTTTTATTCGTCCGTGACCACGACGCCATCTGCGATCGATTAACTTGTAGACAATGATCCCTCGCTCCCTTGCTCTGATCTCGCCTCCTTCTGGCCTGTTAAGTGGCCTGCCTCACACAGGGTGACTGGCTGTCCACATGATGTGGCCTGCCGACATGGCCACTGTCATACAGATCATAAATCAAAGCCAGTGATTGGTCTCTGTGTGTCATTCAAGCTCGGGATAACCTCAGCTCAGGTGAGGTAAAGGACTCTCTGAGTGTTTAGATAGTTAACTTAGTCTAAGTTCTCAGTGGGTCTCAAACGGTGTGGTCACCATTTATGTAAACACATATTTCCATTTGAGAGGGTAGTGATTGGTCTAATGGATAGTGAGGTGGGCTGAAGATCGGAAGGCTATGAGTTCAAATCCCGCCAGGAACACCACCACTAGTGTGCCCTTGAGTAAGGCACTTAGCCCTTAGTTACTCCAGGGAGAATGTCCCTGTAATCGGTCATTACAAGTCGCTTTGGATTAAAGCTTCAGCTAAATGAAATGTAATGTGATTAGTCAAATATGCATGAATAAATAAATAAAAAGTTAACTAGGTGAAAAAAGGTAAGATACACTTTTAAAACTTGTTGAGAGAAAACTAGTCTTTGCTGCTGCCTCAAAGAGGAGCAGGGGGGAGAGGAGGGAGGAGAGGGAGAGGAGGGAGAGGGAGGAGAGGAGGGAGACAGGAGAGGCTGATTCAGGAGCACAGACACACTCACAACTATAAATGAACCAAAACTAAATTAATAAACAAGTTTCAGTGTTTTTTTCATATTGGAAATGGGATGTTGTTGGTTATGGCCTTGATTTTATGATTATTGAAATGTATACAGTTCTGTTTAATATAGGTGTTTCCATAGATCTAGTCTCTTTATTTTCCCCTCAAAATGCACCAGATTGATGCATTTAACTCCAAAATAAAAAATAAAATCTTACCGGGGGGGGCATGCCCCTGGACCCCCCTCGAGGATTTGAGGTCGACCCCCACTAAAAATCACATGGATAGGTTCCTAAATACATTAATAAATACATTTATTTTTTTAAATAGTAACCCATTTCCATATGTTCATGTGTGGGTAGTCGATTTAAACTATAGGGCTATCATTATGGACCCTGCCTGTACCTGTACCTGTTCGCTCTGCCATCGCGTGAAGGGTCTGCTAACAAGCGACCAACAGAAAGGTTAATGTTGTTGCACGTCACCTCAACCCCCCCCGCTACCACCACCCCCCAAAGTATATTTAAGATCTGTGGGAAACACTGGCAGTTAATGGACCAGCACCAGAGGCGTTCCCATACACACAGGCGTTGGAGCTGTTCTTCATGAAATCCCAGATGGATGAAGTGCTCTGACAAACAGTGCCATCTTTGCGCAAAATGATTATACCGGAATGAAAAGTCAATAAATAATGTTGTTAAAAATAAAATAAAAATCGCGCACCCCTCCCCCCCCCCCCCCCCCCCCCCCTTGCCACCACCCGCCCAAGTATATTTCATATCTGTGGGAAACACTGAGGAGAGGTGAACTCACTTAATATTTGTGCATATTCAGTTTGATTTAAAAAAATAACAAGATGATCCAAACATAGTGTAAAATGAAATGCTCTACAGTGAAATAAAAACACAGCTTATTGAAATAATAGAGCTCAGGAGTTTAGCACTCTTATGGCCTGTGCGATAAAACTGTCATCCTATCTCATTAAATTGTATGATGCTTAAACATTCAATATTAATCAAACTGTGTCATTTAATTGGCTTCCAACAGGTGGATGAGACCGTTAATTGGCTGAGTGATTACTTCATGCGGAGTCGTCTCAGTAAGGCCGACCTCCGCAGTTTCGGCCTCTACTCAGCATGGACTCCCTACATCACCGAGGTGGTTTCCTTCTGGGAGCATCTGATTGGTGGTCTGATCAGCATGCAGCTCAACAGCCTCGCCAGAGAGTCAGTGGGAAGCGTCAAAATAATGAAAGGTAACTGCCAAACGTCCTTACATTGACCTAATGTTTTTACTTTTTTGTTATCCGTCAGTATAAACAAGTGAAATATGTCTTGCACTCTCACAGCTCTGCAGGACCTACACAGTAAGATCGGGAAGTTATTTAAGCCTTGGATCTTCCCTCTGGACACGGAGGATGGCGGGTAAGCATGACACTCCCTCAGCAGTCACATGGTGGGAATTGTTGTCAGTCAGGAGGATGTGACACAGAAGAGAGCACAGACAGAGACGAGTCAATACATCTAATTTACTCGCATTCCACAAGTTTGTCAGATGTTATCTTTGCTTTTGTTGTTAATGGACAGCAGCAAACCAAGGGAATTTGTATCTATAGTACACAGTAAACATTGCAAAGAAACCACAAACATTGCACTGCTCAGACAGAAAAGACCCCACAAATTAGTAGATAAAAAATGTCCAAGTATTTTGATAATTGGTTAAATGTTTATGAAATTCAAAAAGTTTCATCAAATGCTTTTTCAGAATTTGGAGAATGTCTGCATTTTTCCATTTAATATCATTATAAACTATATTTAACCGAATATCTTAAAAAAAAAACATACATACAGACAGACAGACATATTATTGACTAAACATTTAGCAGCATACTATTCAATAATAAAAATAATCTCTAGTTGCTGCCATAGTTGGAACTGTGATCTCAGCAGCAGTTGTGTGCTTTCCAGAAGAAGAATGATGTCAAACAAAGGTGATTTTAATATCTTTGTCTCAGTAACCTGAAGTGCTACCCCTGGCTGGAGACCGACGCTGTAGCGGCAGGATGTCTGGTTGGCCTGTATGCTCAGCTCACTGACACACTGCATCACAAGTTCAGAGGTGGGTCTCCTGGAGTCCTGAGTGTGCTGTTAAACGTACGTGTGTGTGTGTGTGTGTGTGTGTGTGTGTGTGTGTGTGTGTGTGTGTGTGTGTGTGTGTGTGTGTGTGTGTGTGTGTGTGTGTGTGTGTGTGTGTGTGTGTGTGTGTGTGTGTGTGTGTGTGTGTGTGTGTGTGTGTGTGTGTGTGTGTGTGTGTGTGTGTGTGTGTGTGTGTGTGTGTGTGTGTGTGTGTGTGTGTGTGTGTGTGTGTGTGTGTGTGTGTGTGTGTGTGTGTGTGTGTGTGTGTGTGTGTGTGTGTGTGTGTGTGTGTGTGTGTGTGTGTGTGTGTCCGTCCCTAAGTATTCTGTGCTGCTTAGCCCCGATATATTTGATTCCCTGTCTTATGTAATATAATTTGTGGAACCAAATAAAGTATTCAAATGTGTGTGTGTGTGGTCAGAGCGCCTGCTGCCCGGGCAGAGAGGGGCTCTGTGGCTGTGTATGATGCAGTATTGTGAGAGCTGCACGGCCCCCCGCACACCGGAGTACCTGCTCTACCTGTATCACACACACCTCCGCAGCCTGCCCTGGAGACACCTGCACCCCGACACCCAGCTGATGGAGCAGCTATTCAAAGTGAGTCACTCTACCCTCCAACTCCTCACCCTGACCCCCCTCTCTGGTCTAAACATGCATGACACAGGGCAGCATGTTTACTTGAGACCTCGATCCTTCGCCCATAGCTCCTATTATTAGTCTGACTTGTCTGTTCCTGGAAACAAGTTCCTGTCTTCCAAGACCCACATAGATCTGGAGAGGCTGCAGTACTGAATATGCACAAATTAAAAAACATTGAGTCATTAAAAATCCCACAGTTTAATAATAATATTTGCTTATCTATGAATGGTAAAGTTAGAATAAAGGGATAGAGCTAGGCAGGCGGTGTAAATGGAAGGCACATCAGTCTAATTATTGAATCAAGAGTAGAATGCATTTTGATTTTTCTCTTCTCCCTGTGCCTGCAGGTTGAGCGAGGAAGTCCCAAGAGCTGCTTCCTCTTTCTGGGAGAAGTGTTATGTGAAGTAAACTGGGTCAGTGTCCTCAGTGACCACTTACAACCTCCCCCCACCTCAACGACATATCCAACTCTACCAGACATGGGTGCTCAGAAGGAGACACATGCCATGCTAGTCTATCTACTTTACATGCTAGTTTTTCTGGCAAAGGAGGAACAAATCCTGAGTCAACAGGTAAATCCGGATTATTTTTTGATTTAATTTTGGTCAGACCTATTGTGGCTTCTTAATTCCTTATTTCCTCCCTACCCTCCAGGACTCCCCTCTCCTGAGTCTATTGGTCCAGTCCACCTCTCTTCCCTGGCACCAACTGGACCTGTCTTCATACCAGGGCATTCTGGGATATGTTGGCACCCACTACCCGCCCCTCCTTGCTGCTCAGTGCTGATTCGGCACCTCAACTGCTGCTGAAGTCACTGCGCAGCGCTGCTGGGCTCCACCCCTGCCCTAATGAGGCTCCACACAGGGTGAGACCAGTCCCAGACCCCCAGTTTTCTCAGTTTTCTCGAGTTTACAGCACATTGGAGTTGGTTTAATCTCCCACAATTAAGCTCTGTATGAAGCAGACGGCAGCCCAGTCAAGGTTTCAAGCCCAGAAATGTATGACAGAACTCACTCAGTGATGATTTAGTATACATGAAGTAAATCAGGCCTTTATGATACATTGGGAACTACAGTTACACTATAATAAATGGTAAAGAAGAAGACTTGCAGCTGAGATTTCAATTTCTGAGAGTCAATTTGTAGGAAGAATAGAGATAATAGCTACAATATGACTGTCGTTGAATGCTGTATTATACAGAAGAGCCCTCTATTCGCAAAATATAACAATGACTCTAAATCTCTTATATCTGCCCCTGCTCTGCCCCAGGCAGATACATCTAGTGTCAAAGTGGGAGGCTCGGAACATCCGTATTAAATATAGACTTGTACAATTCAGTTTTATATGCCAGCTATGCATCACTCAGCCAAATTACATAAACACAACACCTCACAGTGACTGTTGAAGTAGAGCAGCAGAACGCAATACCCTACTTGATGATGTTTCCAAATAGATGGATTTTGGCAAAAGACACTTCCAAGCATTACTGTAAACAAAACCAAGCAACATATGTTGTCTTTAATTGTATCAACTACATTCCTGAAAATCCAGGATGTTAAAATAAGATGCCAACACAAAACACGAACATTACTTCAGGTATCAAAAATGAATACATGTATTTATTTTTGTAAAGTTGCTTTTACTTCAAAAGTTAGATTTCACCTTTCCTCTTCACTTTTAAAATATATAGATTTTTTCATAAAATTAAGTGAACCACTAATAATAAAAGACAGAATGCTTAGACAATGATTGATAAGAAAATCAAATGATACCTACATTGTAGTTTTGCAGGAGCTAAAAGTTATGGGGAAAACACTCTTGTATAATGTGTATAATGTATGGCATGAATCTCAACAAACAGAAACATTTTAAACATGATAATCTGTGTTATATCTGTCAGGAGGAGACGCTGAAGGCGGGGCTGTACGTGTGCTGGTGCGTTCGGTCACTGGTGACTCTGGAGCAGGGGGGCAGCCTCAGCCTCAGCAACCTGGAGGCTCAGCTGGGGTCTCTCCTGGAGAGCGTCGTCACGTTCAACCCACCAGGCCAGTCGTCCTTACATTTTCCTCATAAAATCAACCACCAGATCCAAAAGTTCTCCCATCATCCTTTCTCATCACTTCCTGCTTTTCTCCTCTGCAGAGACGGGATTGGAGCAGAGGCACATGGCCTTCTGCAGTCTGTTCAGCGATGCTCTGGCTCTGCTGAATGGAGTTGGAGTCTCAACAGGAGAGGCGCTCGCTGCTCATGTCATTTCCTGGCTGGACAGGAAGGGGAGGGGCTTCCCTATCCTGCCTCTTCTCACTGCTTGCTCCCGCTGTCTTGCTTCAGTGCGACACATGACGCGGATCATGGAGGCGTGCATTACAGCCTACTTCAACCACGGTAACCGACGTTTTGGTTTTATTGTGAGATCATGTTTTTGGTCTGGTGTCTATCTCTCTCCAGGGAAAATCGCATAATACTGGACCCTTCAGATTCATAGTTTGTGTGGTCATTTCTGACTGTATCCTCAAGGACCTCTCAAGATTGCTTTGATTCACAATTGTATTAAACATATTTTAATAATTGTTTTAGACCGTTATTAATGGCTGACTCTTCACTTCTTTTTAACCGTTAAATTGAGATTGAAATGAAGGATTAATTGATTTTTGTTCCCCTATGTGTTTGTTCCAGCGGAGGAGGAATCTGTGGGTTGGGGTCCTGTTTTGGCGTCGCTGCAGGTGCCTGAGCTCACAGTGGATGACTTCCTCTCTGAGAGCCAATCAGGAGGCAGCTTCCTGACGCTCTATGCCTTCATCCTGCAGCGCCTCAACTCTGAATACACAGCCGCCAACGAGAGGAGGACTCTGGCTTTAGTTAGCACCTGGACCAATCAGGTCTTCCCCAGGTTTGATCCCGTCATTCTCTCATTTGGTTGCTTGTTATGGCTTTTAAAGTTCAATGTTCTCAGAATGTGTGCTTTGTGTGTCCAGTGGTCCAGGGGATGAAGCCAAGCTGTTCCTTTGGTGGCACAAAGCTCTGAGTCTGTCCGCGGAGCAGCTGAAGCCTCAGGCAGGCCAGACTGAAGGGTCAGGGGTCGTCATGGGTCTGTTGAGGCTGCAGACCAGGCTGCTTCAGCTGGGAGAAGAGAGACTGAACTCTGGGCTGTTAGGAGCTATCGGTTTGGGGAAGAGGTCTCCTGTTTCAAATAGGTAAGCTCACATGCATTTTATTAACTAATAAAAACACATAGGCCAGATAGATATCAGATATTGGTTCTGGCGATATGCCAATAGAATGATTTCATCCCCAATACCTAGTCTGATGTATATCGATGGGTACCAAGTCCGATGCAATATCACTGCATTGAAAACTAAAATGTATTTCTTCTGAATTTATTTCAGATGTTTACTACTAACCCTGTTTGTTTGAGCATTTTGTGAGCTAGTCTGGTCAATTGTACTCCTCTGCTAGCGCTTGTTCTATCAGTAAAGGCAGGTGCAAAGCTAGCAAGCGAGCTATCTCGCGTCTTTATCATCTCAGTTAAGAGTTGCAAATGCTTATTGATCAGGCAGGATGTACAGATTGGGTAGCAAGTCACACTTCTTGTTGTTGTTCCTGTGTAGAATACATTTGCTCTTAAATGATATGATTACATGATGTTGGATTGGTTCACAGACTCGCGTACACCCCGATACACGATCCATGTTTTTAGGAGGTATTTTCCACACTGGTATTGGTTCAGAGTATTGGTTCAGAGTATTGGTTCAGAGTATTGGTTCAGAGTGGTGCAGGAATGAAGTATTTTACTAGATATACCTGGAAAAATGCTCTGTGGCAAACAAACATTTATGATACTAGCATCTTATGTTTAGCAGGATAATCTCCCCATATTAACACTCTTTATGATTTTTCAATGCTAACACCTTCCTGCACCACTCTTCTGGATCAACTCTAATCAGAGTGAAATATGAATTTAATCCATGTTGATAAACTGCCTGTTAATATGTACCTCATGTTCATCCAGGTTCAGGGTGGTGGTGCGCAGTCTGGCAGCGTTCCTGTCCATCCAGGTGCCGTCAGAGACCGAGCTTCGAATCCAACCCACCGGTGACCTGCAGCTCTCTGCGAAAGCACAGCAAGTATGCAACAAAACTGCAAACACAGTGTTTTCGATGTATAGTCTGCAATTACCTCCTAAAAATACCTCGTCTTTTTCCCTGGATGTAGATGCTGGGGGTGTTGGAGGCCATGCCCAGCAATAAGCAGTATGCAGAGTTAGAGGACTCTGTGAATAAAGCTGTCCAGTTCATCCGCTACCCAGGACACTGTCTCAGAGACGGACCCCGCCTGCTGGCCCTGCTCGCCAACCTCCTTTACCCGGACCTCAGATATCTGCACATTATCCGTTAACCTTGATTTTACCTGACACTCATCCTGGAGGGCCGAGAGGAAGTTTGTCTCCTGTGGAAAATACAGTGACCTCTGATCTGCACAGCAATGACACTGAATTGCTGTTGCTTTTATATCAGAAAAAGCCTTGAGACTCATCAGCGAGAGCTTTTGTGAGACAGATGCTGACTGCATTTGAGAAAAATACTTGGTGATGAAGGTTGAAACCAGTCGGAAGCATCAGAAAATGTTATGTGCTAATCTCTTATCCTTACTCGCACTTTGCTTTCTTCCCTCATGTTTATGCCTTGTTACTTTCTAAATAACTTGCCTGTTGGCTTGCAACACATCTGTTTTTATTCTTGATTTTAGAGAAAGTTGCACATATTTATTGAAGCAGAATTCATTCATCAGAATTCCTCGCTGGGCTTTAGGAGTGAGTAAAATAGTTGAAGGTCCACAGATATTTTAAAAGAGATTAAATGACAGATCTAATAGACTAACATCTAGTAGTACCTTTTTAAAAATGGGGGGACATACCAGGAAATCTAGGGGTTAAATGCCTGCTACATCTCAGCTGTTAATGCTAGCATCTAGCTAAAAGCTACAATCTGAAATCTCTCGATCCTAGATGCTGAACACAGGTGATAATGTTTAGTTACAGAGCATTTGCCAGTATTATGTTTCCGTCCAGCCACAAGTGCTTTCCTTGTTTCTGCCAAAGAGATGTTATTTTCATTTGCTCAGCTACTTAAAACGTCTTGACCGTGCACTCTGCTTGTTTCATCTGTCTCAGTTGGATACAAAAACTGCAGCCTGAATGGGCACATGCTATATAAGTACCACTTACAATGTCCCGCACTACTTTGCTTCCTTATAAAGTAGTGTGTGCTCTGTTACACAAATTACTGATGCTGTTGGTATTACTGAGGGCAGGGGTGTCACGTTGTTGGAGGTACTATGTAACTGGACTTATATACACAAATGTTTGGGTCATTTAAGGCAGATAATTCCGTTTTTTCCGACCTCCATACTGTACATCCAACAGTATTCACATTTTAATTATTCTTTTCAGCTCACCACTTCTGTTGCTCTGTGCCATCTCAGTAATAATCGTGCTGCACTTGTGCGGCCTGAAGCCCGCTTTATCGCCTGTGTTATGTGGTGACTCTTAATGTCAGAAGAATTTATTTGTTATGAGTCAGTAAGCAGGAATGGGTCTGTAGGGCTGCTGGAGGAGGGAGCTCTGTGCTGGGCTGCACAAAGGAGACAGGAATATGTTCAATAAAGAGAACTGAATGTCTCAGCTGTTATTTATCAACTCAACACAGCAATCGAGGACTATGTGTACATCGAGCCTCTGAGAGACTGATCTAAACCCCGCTGACACGTCACGTAACTGTTTTATGAATTGAGTTGTTAAGAATAAGTGAGAGAGACAAAAGGTCCAGACGGCAATACAGGACACAATGTGCACAACAAACCTGACATAACGCTGCAGATGGTCAAACTGAGAATAAAGCTTCCTTGTCTCAAAGACGAGCGTGTGCTTTGTGTTTGTAATTTAACTGTCATCAGCATCCTGTTGTTCTCTCTGTGAAGGTACAGCACGTCTTTAGTTGAAAGAAGATTGTTCAGGAGGGAACGGCGGGGGGGTCTGTAAATTGTGCACAAAAACATCCAGCGTCCTCATTTAACACCAACCCAACTGTCTGGGTGAACCTCTCTTCAGGCAACTGTGGTCTCTATGGTTACAGGAAGGGTATAAGTGAGAGAGGAGGTAGAGAGGACGGGTTGTTCTGAGGCTGTGAGAGAGGAGGTGGGAGATGCTTACAGACACTTACGACTGGCTATTTTTCACTCAAAAACAGCCTCTGGTGTATTCTGTGTCCTCTATCTCCTTTTGCAACTTAATTAACCTTCTGTTCCCTCGGCTCAGGTGGTGAAGTACAGTGGAGGCAATGTTTACGTGACAGCTTGCTCCCAAAGCCTCACCTAATTGTTACTCTCTCACACACACACACACCCATATAGGACCCTTTGCTGAGACAGGGTATTCCTGGCAGACAAATCCCTGTCTGGCAGATTCCCATGTCACCATGGAAACCTAGCATCAGTTGTTCATAGACAATCAGAGCCGCACGTGGTGGATCCGCTCCCCTCGGTCATCATTGGCAATAAGGCTGCAGACACACTGTGCGGATTGCAGAAACACAATTATCAGAAATCTGACAAGTTATGCAAGACCTGCCGACAGTAATGAGAAGGTTTATTGTATAATATGTGCATCGGTGGAGAGTCGCTAAGAGCATTTCGAAAGTACTATGCACATTTGAAGCACTTGTATTTTACTTGTCAGTTTTCTTTGAATGCCACTTAAGCCTCTCCTACCTCCTTTGTAGTTTTTTTTCATAATTATCCAACAGCTTAAGTTACTAGTTTCTTTTAGCTCATAAAACTGTTTTGTTATTAATAATGCGAAAACATTTCATGGCTTGAAACATGAAGATTATATTATTTTAAATTTGAAGATGTCATATGATTTGTTGAATACTTATTACAAACCAAACAAACCTTTAATCCAAAAGTAATCAGCCAATTAATTACGTATAAAAATAATAATTGGCTCACTTTTATACAAATGGCTAATGACTCGTAAAACTGCAAAGGTAAAATGTTGATTTTACATTGATGCATGAGTAATTATAACTGAGTATATAATAGTGTATATCTAGTTTTTTTTTTTTTACTTTTCAGTACATTTTCTTGAATATACTTACATTTTGCCAAAGTAATATTCCCAATGTATATTTCCTTGTCCCTGTTACATAGTATGTTTACATTGTGGTATTAGTACTTAGTTATAGTAGTAGTATTAGTATACACTTGGTACAGTCGGTGCATATTTCCCTAAGTGCATTGCATTTGATTTCAACATGTCCCAGTGTCCCGAACAGAGGGCCCTCATGGACAACACTCCTGCTGACCAGTTGCTCTGCTGGGACAGCTGCACTGGCCTGAAGACCCTCCCTGAAGCCCCAAACCCACTCTCAGCTGGACACACAGGAATGTCTCTCTCTATGTCCTTGCATTGTTTTCAATGTTTAGTGTGTGAGAGTACATGCATATGTGTGTGTGAGAACAAGTGTTTATTTGTGTGTGTCTGACAGGCTCCTCCAATTGAGACACCCACCTTTCTTGCACCTCCTCGCCACTCCGGTGGTGAAGGATGACTCAGGCTTAAATGAGTCTTTCTTTCTTTCCTTCTTTCTATCACATTGACCCAGCAGAACAGAAGCACTTCACCACTGAGTACCTACTTATCGGTAAAAGTCATCAATAATGACTCAGACCTGGTGTTATGTTTGATTTTTAGAAAGCTTGGTAGGCTGTTATTTAATCTGTAATGTATGGCCTTCAGGATAAAAGTGAATGTTGGTTTATATCTGGATTGAGGGCATGAAGTAGAGGTTGGGGTTCCTGTTGAAAGTATAGTTAGGTTAAGGTGTAGTATAAAGGTGAATAATTGGCAGATCCAGTCAAATCATACCAGTGAAAGTGAAAAACTGACCCAGAAATCCTGTAGCTCCAACCTTACAACTGGTTTCTAATAGTTTAATTATGTGTTGGTGTTTACCCCAGGACCAGGTTTCCCTATAGCATTATCCTGCATGTGTCAAGTTTTAGGGTTAGCTGGGTCATTTTGATGTTCACATTGAAGTCATCGGGGGTGAGGTTTTAGGTCAGGACATTAAAGTGGATGAACTTGTTAAAGTTGGTGTGAACTTTAGGGTCTCGTGTCAGTGAGAGTAGGATGTTCTTTACAAAGATAAAAGATCAAAAATGATGAGTAGGGCTATAGGGAGTCATCACATGACTCAGCAGGGTTTATACCAACCCAGGCACGACCACACGATCATGCTTTTTTTTAATCAGGTGATTGCTTTTCTGTCGTTTATCAGGACTCTCTCTGTATTTCTCTCTCGCTATCTAAGTATGACTCTGTTTCTCTGAACAGTGAAGCCCTGCCTCTTACATGCCTGTTCAGACTGATTTAATGAGGGAATTAAAGCAATGCAGCTCTGCTCATAATTCAAATTGTTAAATCAAACTTAAGTGTACCTCTCAGTGTGAATGCTGAGGGTGTGTGAGCAGATCCTGAACAAAGAGCTGGCTGCTACTGGTGGAGAGGGCTGGGTTTGCTCCAGACTGCTAAGGGATTTAGACTCAGACGGGACCATCGGACACAGGCTCGGTAAGGAAACCAAAACATGTAAAATATATTTGTACTAATTAATCCGTTCAGATTTCAGTCCCGAAATGTTGGAAGGGGGAAGATCATGATCATATAGGGAATATAAAGGATTGGAAGTGTTACCTCGATAAATAAGTGAATGGACAATGTAATCGATATTTATGACTGAAACACATTAGGAACTTTCCCCCCAATTGGATTTTCCTTTGAATCCCGATGGTAGCCCGGTGGTTTCGGTCCTATTTCCAGTCGGTGTGTGTGTGATGGATGTGGGTTTATGGCAGGCGGGCTGGGCAGTTGTCCGAGGTTTTCCACTGAAACGTCAGATGTTTGCTCACCGGTTATTTCAGAGACTGTGATCCTCCCGGCGTCCTGACGTCAATTTATAAGGACCAGCAGTGCAAGGCGGCAGCAGAAACAGCAGAGAGGAGTGGGACCATGTCGTTGTGATATTCTTCATTTATTGCTGAGCATTCGGGTAGGATTATCTTTGTTTTCCATTGCTTTCTTTTCTTTCTTTTCCCTGTAATCGAGTTGTCTCGATCTCGTGGTGAGCCTGGCTTTCTCTCATTAATATTCCCTTTTCATTGTATGGGTAATTATGGCAAATGATCTATACTATACTATAGTACAACTATACTAGGGTTTATTGGTCGGTTAACCCAAATAGTTGGTGTAAATGATGGTATGAATTATTGGTGTGAATTGTCGGAGTTTAAGACTGTGTGCTCTTTCTTTGTATAGCGCACCGGTATCTCTTTGTCTGAAATACGCTATTATTAGCAGACTACAATACTATCATAGCGTTTTATGTAACCAGACTTCTCCGTCCACTTCTGGTGAACAGAGGATCAGTGTGTGCTGCTCAGAGGCTCCGCAGTGAAGGTGTTTGTCTGACACGTTGTGTCTCCAGCTGGCAGCAGATCTGGGATCAGCCAGAAGCCAAGTGATTTCTATTTATTGCACAAAATCAGATTTCAAAATAAGTGCATTTTAAATAAATCAAAGTAGGTGTTATTAATAGCTAACCTGCTGGTCCGAGCTGATATGGAGATCTTCATAAAGCAGATAAAGGGGATTCCTCTGCATCAGCTCAGCTACCACCACATCCCCATAGCAACAGATAGTAAAACCAACAATGGAGCTGAAGATTAATCCATTCATCAAATAGTTGTCAACTATTACTATAAACGTAACACATTTTGATAATTGATTAATTGCCAAGAGTCATTTAGTCATTTATTACCAAATGTAAAAATTACCTAATTCCCTCTTCTTTAATGTGAGTACTTTCTGGATAGTTTACTCCTTTATGACAGTTAACTATGTCTTCGTGTTGAGGATGTCATCTTGGGCTTTGAGTTGAATTTTCACCATCATCTGACAATTTATAGACCAAAAAGTTAATCGACATGAGATATAGCAGCCTTAACTAGCACTCTGTGTTCCCAAATCGAACTATTGCCAAATAGATTTCACAGTAAAGCTCTGAAGATGGAGATAGGACATTATGCTGCTAATCTGACAGTAGCCTGGTATCTCTCACCAGTGACTGACCACAGCCTGAGCTGAAGAGGGGGGTCCCAATCCCGACAGTGTGTGCAACAATGGGAAAGGACTACTACAAGACCCTGGGCATCTCCAAGGGCTCCAACGAGGATGAGATCAAGAAGGCCTACCGACGCATGGCCCTGCGCTTCCACCCCGACAAGAACAAGGACGCCAACGCAGAGGAGAAGTTCAAGGAGATCGCAGAGGCCTATGAGGTACTCAGCGACCACAAGAAGAGGGTGGTCTATGATCAGCTAGGAGAGGAAGGTGAGTAGGGGGCAGGGGGGGTTCATGTCTGGGTTTGATCCTGTCTGTCTGTGTATGATCACAGACTGAAAGCGGTCAGAGAGTGCAGGCCTTGTTATACATGCGTTATGATGTATTAAGTTGTTATTAAAATAGCTCAGGAACAGCATGTTATATCATAGTAAAGGGCTTTGGGGGGAGGGGAGGGGGGTCAATCACTCAAGTAATGATACTGTGTTCTTCCATGCTTTCTTGTAAGTGTGTGTATGTGCTGAAACGTGTGTGTGATTGTTGTCTTCAGTGTCAACAACACTTACTAGCTCTAATACCTCATAGTCTACCTCAGCTGCTAGTGTGTGTGTGTGTGTGTGTGTGTGTGTGTGTGTGTGTGTGTGTGTGTGTGTGTGTGTGTGTGTGTGTGTGTGTGTGTGTGTGTGTGTGTGTGTGTGTGTGTGTGTGTGTGTGTGTGTGTGTGTGTGTGTGTGTGTGTGTGTGTGTGTGTGTGTGTGTGTGTGTGTGTGTGTGTGTCTGTGTGTGTGTGTGTGTGTGTGTGTGTGTGTGTGTGTTAGCTGACAGACAGATGGCTTAAGATCATTACGTGGTTGAGTTATGAATAGCGGCGGCTGCTGTACATTTGTGGGTGTTTCATGCATGTGTGTCTCTGTTGAAAAGGTGTGTGGGTGTTGGATGGAGTGACCTGGTATTTGATGAATTCCTCCACCACCACCAGGGCTGTGTGCAGATCACTGATGCTGTGGGATTTACCTGCCCACGTGGGCTGTGCTCTTCTCTGTGCTCTTACCCACACAAAGTATTTTCTGAACACGGTCCTGTGTCTGGTATCTGACTTCATTTTGATGTGTGTTTTTCAGCATGGGTGTTTTGCGCATCTCACGTTCCTCTCTCTCCTATTTCTTTCAGGTTTGAGGAATGGCGGCAGCAGCACTTCAGGTGTTCCTGGCAGCTCAACGTACCACTACACCTTCCATGGAGACCCCCACGCCACCTTCGCCTCCTTTTTTGGCGGCTCCAACCCCTTCGACATGTTTTTTGGCTCCAACCGCAGCCACAGCCGCTCCAACGGTTTCTCCTTTCACAACGACCACGACGCAGAGCAGGACATGGACATGGAAGAGGAAGACCCCTTCGCTCATATCGGGAGGCAGTTCGGCTTCCCAGCGGGGGTGAACAACGGCTTCCCAGGAGAGGGTCGCAGGAGGCGGGGGGTGCACTCAGAGCGCCTGGGGACAGGGCGAAAGCAGCAGGACCCCCCGGTGGTCCACGAGCTGAAGGTCTCGCTGGAAGAGATCTTCCACGGCTGCACGAAGCGAATGAAGATCACGCGGCGCAGGCTGAACCCGGACGGCCGCAGCATGAGGACAGAGGACAAGATCCTCAACATTATCATCAAGAAGGGATGGAAGGAGGGGACCAAGATCACCTTCCCCAAGGAGGGGGACGAGACCCCTGAGAACATTCCTGCCGACATAGCCTTTGTGCTGAAAGACAAAGGGCACGTCCACTTAAAGAGAGACGGTTCCAACATCATTTTTAACTGCAAGATCACTCTAAAAGAGGTGCGTTGTCATCTATCATCTCTGTTTTGTGCCTCTGCTCATCTGTCTATCTGTAGTGCTCTCTCTTTGTCTCAGTGCATGCAAATTAGTAGATAATGTTGCTGAGGTTGGAAGTTTGATTCCCAGTGGAGCAAACCAGACGGAAAAGTGAATGCATTCATCGAGCTGCAAAGGCTTGGATGAAAATCTAAAAATTGCCTTTTCTTTGTGTCATTCATGTCTTGTCAAATGGTGAAAAGGTGTGACTTTAATATAAGGCTATTACTATTTCTCGGGTAGGTGGATATACATGTCATGTTAAGGAGGGAGTGTGCATGTGTGTGTGTTGCTGAAGCCAGGATCAGTGAGCGGCAAAGTCTCTGTCGCTGCAGTGTGAGAGGAGCAGCAGAATGTGATGTCCTTGTGCGACCGGCACAGAGCCATCCTCCTCACTTGTTCTGCACTGCTGTATGAATTAATATCCATAAACGCACATGCAGGCAGGCACAACAAAACTACACACAGGCATACACATCCACTCAGGCGCACACTCTCTTGCATCTTCAAGGGTATTTGCAAACACACTCGGTTGTTAAAGATTCATTGTAGTGTGACAGTGGTGACAATCCAGGCTGCTATTAATGTGACTGGCAGGACATTTAATTAGCCGCTCCTACAGGGGCATCGGGTCCAGCACAGCTCTGCTCTGCTGCCACTCACTGGCCTGCCCTAACATGGCTGGCGTAATAGCAGATGTTCTCAAAGAGTCGGAGATGTCAGGGGAGTAGTTTGTTCTCCGCTCAAACCAATTTTGAACATTTTCCCTCTAAAAGCAGCTCCGACTCCATGAGGTAATTCAATGGTAAACAAGGGTCCCTGCACGTCATGAAGACAGTCTATTTAATGAGAGCACAGTGCAGTTGATTAAGTGGCACTAAGCAGGAGATGGCTTTTGAACAAACCCACAATGAAGTTTGCACCGCAGAAGTCCCACAGCTAAGTCCTCTGCTCTTATGGCAGCCAGATAAGAGACTTAATTCTGATGCAGCTAAAGACGCGATGGGGGAGAGAAGTGGAGCTGAGAATAGGGGGTGGAGGGCCTATCTTGGGAATATCAGGGAAGTGGGTCAGATGATTCAGTATCCAAAGCAAGTAAGAGCTCATATTCCTCTGCTCCACTCTGCTTTCCTGAAGATGTGATTCAGGGTAAGCAGAGCAACGGCAACATGCTGCACACAGGCCATATAATGTTGCAGATGTTATGCAATGCACCCGTATATAATAAACCAGGCCAACAAGATGATTGTTTCCAATCAGTGCCCATTCTAAACAACAACAACATTGGTTATTATGCAGTCTATAGTCTCATTTCGCCCCCTGTATGAGTCACCATGCTCAGGTTTGTTTACAGCCTGAAGTATGTCCCGGTGAGCAGTTTTTATTTAGTGCCGCCAAGCTCGTTTGACCTCGCTGTAAACTCCTCTGAGACTCTGCTTTGCTAGAGGCAGCCCTGCGATGTCTTCACCTTGACAGCAGTCAGAAGCAGTTAGAGAGCTTAGCAGGAATTTGATCTTTCTGCCGTTAATGGTCCCTCTGCAGTGTGTTGGTATCATCTGTGACCGTCTAGCTCCTGTCACTCAGCCCAGCAGCGAAAACCCACGTCCAAAACACACGTAGGTGCTAACTGTAGCTGTGAGGCTCTAAAGGCAAAGTGGGCCATTTACAGCAACACTTCTGATATCAATTAAAAAGGCAAATATACAGTTTATCCGTGATGGTAGAATATGTTCAGTCAGTGGGAGTGAGGAAGCATGTGCATATTTTAACAATTGTTATGCAAATACTTAAACACAGCAGAAGCTGAATAGACGGCCCACAGCTTTGCTTATTATTTTCTCCATCAATTATTTGTTTTATAAAATGTCAGGAAATAGCTAAATATATCCATCCTAGTTTGACAAAGTCCACGTTGATGTCTTTAAATGTCTTGTTTTTTCAGTCCAAAACAAAAAGATATTCAGTTTAATGTTATGTAAAGCAGAGAAAAGCAGGAATTCTTGATAATTTAGAAGCAGTTTTTGATTGAAAAACAATTCATGGATTATCATAATAGTTGGGGAATATTGTCTTCGACTTGAATACTTCTTCTTTCGTGTAACGTTAGAGGTCCAACTCGGTGTCGTGTAGCCATGCCCGCATCTCTGGTCCTAGGTCGAAGAGGCTGGCTTCCGAGGGTGGTCTATATAAGGGGCAGATGGTGATTATATGGACAGCGGTCTGCTCAGGGTCACCGCACTCGCATGCCGCACTGTCCGCCAAGCCCCACGTCTTCATCGATGTTTTAAAGCGACCGACCCCAGTTCGTAGACGGTTCAGAGTGGTCCACTGCCGGCGCGGTAGGTCGACTTGAATAGTTTACTAATTAGTCAACACATTTTGGATTATGAGTAGACTTTTAACGAGTCCTTTTGGTTAAAAACAGCTGATCATAACTGCCGGGTGCCATGTAAGAAAGATGTTTAACATTAGGATGTGACCCTAAAGGAATGAAGGTCATCTGTAAAAGTATAGCCAATTCAAAGTGTGTGTGTGTGTGTGTGTTTTGGTGTCTCTAGAGCGGTTGTCTGAGCTCAGGCTTATGTAATCAGTGGGTCCTCATATCAGCTGGCAGTGTGTGCCCAGCGTCATGGCAACCTGTCTGTGTGTAAGACTTGTGTTCGTGAATGGACGTGTTCATAGCAAGAGGATGAGTCTCCATCACAGTCACAGGCTTACTCACTTATCATGTATGTAGCGTGTAAAAGGAGGATGATGTTATGGCTGGAAAACTGTCTGTCCTGAGAAGCAGCTGCTCTGCCCGACTGAACTCCAACTGTTAACACGCCAGACTAGACATAAAACATCTCCAGCAGCTTTGATACAACATTGGTGGCATGACGACAGGGACCTGGTGTGAGAGGTTAAGCATGTGCCAATCCCGGCAGAATCACTATTACATCATGACAGACTAAATACCTCGGGAGTGTAAAGAGTTGGTATGCTTTGGAATGAGAAGGATACATCAACGACTTAATGAGCTACATAGCTTGATGAAATGTGTCTTAGACATTAATGAGACATTAATTCTTCTCTTAATAGAGTATTCAGACTCTTTTGATGTCTTTTTAATTCTCCCCGGTACCACACAAATGCTTTATCTCATGGTTTATCTCATCTCTTACACATGCCATTACCTGTGCCTGAAAGGGAGTCATGCTTCCCAGACAATACAAGGACTTTAGTGATCCCCTAACTTTCCTTTAGCACCACCGTTTGGTGATTTTGCTGAAAAGTCCCAATAACTAGTAAACTATCACCTTCCCCTCTGGATGAATTGTAATCACTTCTCTTTAGTTCATCTGCCTCAGCTGTACCTTGTGTTTTAAATTGAATCAAAGCAATAATCAATCATTGATAATTGGCAGATCTTAACTTGTTCCCATGCTAAATTGGTAACCGAAGGCCAGACTAACAGCGTATGGTCAGGGTTAGGGTTGTGTGTGTGTGTGTGTCTGTGTGTGTGTGTGTGTGTGTGTGTGTGTGTGTGTGTGTGTGTGTGTGTGTGTGTGTGTGTGTGTGTGTGTGTGTGTGTGTGTGTGTGTGTGTGTGTGTGTGTGTGTGTGTGTGTGTGTGTGTGTGTGTGTGTGTGTGTGTGTGTGTGTGTGTGTGTGTGTGTGTGTGTGTGTGTGTGTGTGTGTGTGTGTGTGTGTGTGTGTGTGTGTGTGCGCACGTATGTCTCTCTCCTTGCCCTGCCAGCCCATCTGACAAGCCCTCCAACTATTTACGAGCTCAGCCGATTCCTGCCTCACTTCATTAGTCCCGGCTATGAGACCGTTGCTAAAATTAGACCCCTTGTGCAATGTGAAGCCCCTCCAACACTCACACAACTACACACTCACGCACACTTCTACCTACACACACACACACACACACACACACACACACACACACACACACACACACACACACACACACACACAGAACAGACACATGGAAGTTTGAAATGTTCAGATGACATACTGAGAGAAGATAAGCTATAGTCTTGAGTTCATGGAAACATGAAGTCATTGAGATATTCACGGCTTTGGCATTTCCTTCCTACTCAAAATGTTAACTGCACTGCTCTTCTTCTTTTAACCCAGATATACTGTGCATATGTTACTATTCCTTCACAGTAATTTGTCATATTCTTGTTGTGTTTCCTTTTTTTCAATTGTTATGGGTTTTTAAAAACATTTTTATAATAGATTTTTCAACTGTTTTTATTTTTTTTATTTTAATTTTATTTAACATTTTATTTTATGGAAACACTTAAACCAAAACAAATTCCTTGTATGTGAAAACCTACTTGGCAAAAAGACAAATTCACATTTTCATTTGAACCCTCTCCTCTCTTCCTCTCCAGGCGTTGTGTGGCTGCACAGTTAGCATTCCCACGTTGGAAAACCGCATCATCTCGCTCCCGTGTCACGACATCATCAAGCCGGGGACGGTGAAGCGACTCAGAGGGGAAGGCCTGCCGTTCCCAAAGAACCCGTCACAGCGCGGCGACCTCATCGTGGAGTTCTCTGTCCGTTTTCCCGACAGAATTCCCCCTCAGTCCAGAGAGATTATCAGACAACATCTCCCCCAGTCATAGGAGGACTCACCGTACCCCCCATTACCTCACTTCAGACTAAATGACCCAAACCCTAGTTCTCAACCCTTCTGACCCTTATTGTAGTTTCCCTTCCCACTTCCTGATGTCCTCAGTTGACGCACGCAGCATCGAACAGACGCTGCTGTTTGAAGGGACTTTGCAGTGGGAGGACGAAGGAAGAATGCCAAGATGAGTGGCAGAATCAGGATGTAATTATTCATCTTTGTTTTGTTTTCAGGCCCAATCAAACACACAAACAAACACACACACACAGAGAGCCAAGCAGCAGAGTTGTGTTGAGGGTGGGCTCAGCACCATGAGCTGTTTTTCTCTTAACACAGTTTTTTTACGGATTTATCAGTGGGTTTTATATGCTGTCCAACTCTCTGATCCTCAACTTTTTGTGATAGGATGAAGTGCGAGATCTTTTTTTTTTTTTTAAAGAAACTTTTTCCAGAGTTTTTCTTTCTGAAGGAAGTTTTAAAGAGGATTATTTATTTTTACCTTGAGTGTACCAGCAGTGTGTTCAGTGCAAACCCCGGTTTTAACTTAACCCCTTCCCCCCTATTTGCCGCCTACTAGTTTGTAGGCCATTTTGTTGTCTCCTATAATCAGCTGTATACTGATGCGTGATTAACTGCGCATGTATAGTACTGCTCTACTCCAAACAATATGAGCGTATCTCAGCTTCATTGGAAAATCTAGGTATGACAATCATGGACAATAACAGCAGTGTAAGCTCGGACAATACAATCTACACATCATATGGGTGCTTTCCCTTCTGAACTGCCTGGCTTGCTATCTGAGGGACATTCAGGTGCCTTAGCACGGTGTCATAACACGTATGTGAACATACATGCACACACAATGTTACACTGTAATAAACACAACCAGCACAGACGATGCCCTATGCTTTTGTAGACAATAACAACTGGTGATCTTGGACAACCTTCAGTAAGCAATGTAATGTCAATCACCATATTATACTTTTATGTGAGTGAGGACATTTTTGGAGAGATGTGATGCAAAATTGTTGAAATGTGCCAGTGCATCCCTGTTAAGTGCCATACAAGTACAGGTTGGATTTCCCAGAGGAATATATCTGAAGTCCGTAGTACACAGTGGAGCTTTCTCTGGGAAACACAGCTTTATTTATTCTGATGCCTCCTGTGCCATTTGAAGGCCATATCTCGGTGCTACTGGAGGCAGTGCCAATGTAGACCAATTCTGTGTCTACTTGGTTTCATGGTTTTTGATATCTGCTCCTTTCCTCTGTAACATGTGAACATCAAATGTGTTTTGATGTTTAGGAAACAGGTTTTTTTAACATTCTCTGTCTGAGCTCTGATCCTCTCTTCAGCTCTTCCTACTGTACGACAGAGATATGATGTATGTGTGAGAATGGTTTCATGCAGGCAGCAGCAGAAGGTCATATATCACGTCAATGGGAAAATGTTTGTTGAAACATGTTGATAAATGCACTTTTATGTCATTCAAGACAAATTGACTAACTATGAGATGGTGGGAACAACTTGAATGACTTGTGTGTGAGCGTCCTGCTGCTCGGGGCCTGGGGGGGGGGATGTGGCGACAACAGGAAGCACAAGTGCAGCTGCTGGAAGCCTGTCACTGCTTAGGTGCAGTCAATAATATTTATGATCTTTTCAAAATAGCTACAAATAAACCAAATGTGTGAACTTACAGTGTGTGTCATTTGAGTTTCTCATTCAAGAATGATCACCTCCCTGAGTATGTTAACAGCATGTGCACCTCACATTCTTACATTAATAAGTATGTTAACATGTGTTTACACAACTATAGGGACTTTTGAGGTTCAAGAAATTACTTGTCAGAGTTTATAGATGTTTTATCTTCACAGTCTTCTTTATATTTTCTACTTTTTAATGCTGCTTTAATTCTATTTTGAGATGTTTAATTTCTAGTATTGTTTATTTCTACTCTTTAGTTTCTACTTATGTGCAATGCCTTATTTTGTTTGTTTATGCTGCAATGCAAACATTTCGCAATTTGGGATCAATAAAGTACCTCTTATCTTAAAACAGGATTTGTTTTGAAAATACTTCAAATAACAGCTTAGGAAACTTTAGCAGTTCCATCTAGGAGAGATTTTCACTCCAAACACCTAACATGGTTTTGTTTGTTTTCTGTGATTCAAAAAGGTAAAGTTTGACATTATGCCGTTAAAGACAAGCTCAAAAAATTGATTAAAAGGTGTGTGTTGCAGAACTTTGTTTTTCGGCTTTTCTGCCTGACGGTGAGAGGGGCCCCTGGGTTCAGAACCAGTGGACCAAAACTGAACTGTATAGACAACTGACCTGTTACAACAGTAAAATGCTGCTTAATACATGGATGCATCCCTATTAGATCTAATAATGCACCTTATAATAAAATATCAATCACAGGGGGCACTTCTGTGCAGAATAAGTCTTTTTTGGTACAATTAACTGTTTCAAAGAGCACTTCTTCCACCACAGCTCATTCTCTGTTGGTACAGATATGTCTGGCAGAGATGTTTAGGAATACAGATGATCATACACTTTAAAAATAACTAGGTTTCTAAACCCAGAATAACATCAGTTGAAAACAAAATGATGTGTGAACGAACTGACAGATCTGCTTTAACCAACAAATGGAGATAAGAAATTCTTTTAAGAATCTTGTTTGATCAAACATTACCAATAAATATTTAACTTTCTGTTTTTTGTTGAGCCGAGTTTGGCCATTTTCCACGAGTTTGAGTTACAGATAAACAACGGAGGCAGACTTTGACCTCTGTTCAAATCCAGATGGACAGCTATACCCTCCGCTGATCACCGCTCCGTCTACCAGAGCTATTACAGGTAGGAACTAAAGTCTAAACTTAAAAAACAAATAGACAATAACTCACTTCATGTTTAATGTAAAGCATTAATGAATGACATGCTGTGTTGTGATCTGTGTTAACTGACTCGATCATGTGAAACAAATTGTGTGTGTGTTTGTGTGTGTGCATCACATGATAAGAAAATAGCAGACCATTAGCGACTCATTGAAAGGCTGTGAGATGTACTGCAGTAACACCGCACTGTGACTAATGCCAAATACCTGAATCATCTATTTCTGGCGATAGGGCAGAGGGTTTATATCTCCACTGAGACACAGAGAGTGGATAGAACAAATGACAAAAAACAGGCCACCAAATGATTTATATTGTTTTGCTGCTGTCTGCTGTTTCTTTGTATATACATGTGTGATGGCTAATGTCTGGAGTGTATGAACTGTGTGTTCATACACTCCAGCCATTAGCCATCACACATGTATATACAAAGACACAGCAGACAGAGGTGGGAGAAGTACTCAGATCTTGTACTTCAGTAAAAGGAGAAGTACCAGAATGTAGGAATACTCTGTTATAAGTAAAAGTCCTGCATCAAAATGTTACTTAAGTAAAAGTACAAAAATGTTTGCATCAAAATATACTTAAAGTACCAAAAGTAAAAATACTCGTTATGCAGATTGGTCAATTTCAGAATAATATCATCATATGTTTTGATTATAATTATTGCTCCATTCATGTGTTTATCAAAGCTGGTAAAGGTGCAGCTAGTTTTAAATACTTTGTATACTGCAGGGTAGATTGTGAATTTGCTCCAGTTGTGACTAAAGTCTTATTTAAGTGTTGAATATATTTCACATCATTAATCCAAATCTGCAAAGTAACTAAAGGTACTAAATAAATGTAGTGGAATTAAAGTACAAAGTAACCAAAAATGAGAATCCTCAAGTAAGTACAAATACCTCAAAATGATACTTAAGTACAGTACTTGAGTAAATGTAAGTTACCCTTCACCACTGCACAGCCCCTGCTGAAGTGCAGGAGTTAATGAACTCCGATGTGAGTGATAATCAGTAACAAAGTATTCGTACTTGGTCATGATGACTGGGTCGGTCCCACAAGAGTCTCTGTCTGTCCCCTTCAGGTCTTCAGGGCTGAAACATGAGCGACTTCTTGACCCTCTCCACGGGGCAGAGGATGCCCGTGGTCGGACTCGGCACATGGAAGAGTGCTCCAGGACAGGTAGGACTATAAAACCCCCATGCAAGTTTTGAATCACATTTCTGGAAATTGTCATGTGATAAAAAGAGTGTTTTGTCTGTGTATGTGTCCTCAGGTGAAGCAGGCCGTGCTGGCAGCGTTGGATTGTGGGTACAGACACATTGACTGTGCTGCTGCGTACAGCAACGAGCAGGAGGTGGGGGGGGCTCTGTCTCTCATGGTCGGCTCCGGGAAGGTGAGGAAAACTCTGTTTGAGCTTAAATCAGGCGTTGAGTTCATGCTTGACCTTGGAAACAGCAGTTGAAAAAACAAGTGTACCTGAAGATCCACTCACGTGCTTTCTCTGGTGCTTTCAACCAAACAATGGAGTTTGATTATTTGTGTTGGTAAAGCCCAAACAGAGTGAACATCATCGTATATATTTAGTTTCTAAGTTATTATGGCTTCGGTAAATCGAGTATAGTAAGTGTTACATTTAGGATTAAAGGAATACTTCACCCCTAAAATGATCATTTGTATTTCTGTACTCACCCTGTTTTACCTTGAAATACTAAAGAACTCTCACACTCAACTCAATGATCGAACAATAACCTAAAAACTGACACAACTCAAATGTATTGACGTAAAAGGGGGTCAAAGTTGAGCAAAACCTAATTAAGTATTTACTCATAAACTTCATGAATATCAAAATCAGAGCTGAAACTTGTGCATGCTTTGTTTCTGGTTCAAACGTGTAGCTCAATCCTTCAACTATCAGATATTTCCCTGTATTGAACATATGTTCTCCACCTATGATCCTTCCCCCTCCAGGCTCTGCGTCGTGAGGATGTGTTTGTAACATCCAAACTGTGGAACACCAAGCATGACCCGGAGGATGTGGAGGAGGCCTGCAGGACCAGCCTGGCCCACCTGGGTCTCTCCTACCTGGACCTGTACCTCATGCACTGGCCCATGGCCTTCCAGTGAGCCGCTGCACACACTTCACTGCCTCAGGCTCTGATAGGCTGTCATCGTGTGGATCAGAGTGATATGACATATTTTCATTATGTGGATGTTTCAGGCGGGGGAAGGAGCTGATGCCTCGGAGGGACGATGGAAGTATTTGTTACTCTGACACACACTACAGAGACACCTGGGCAGCCATGGAGAGCCTGGTGGACAAAGGTCTGGTGAAAGCTATCGGACTCTCCAACTTCAACGCCAGGCAGATGGATGACATCATCAGCACGGCCAGACACGCCCCTGTCGTGAACCAGGTACCATCTGGCTCTTATGGTCCAGAATAAATATATTTGATAACGTTTTTATAGGCTTGAAAACCTTCTTATTGTGCCACAGGTGGAGTGCCATCCTTATTTGTCTCAAGCAGATCTCCTGTCTCACTGTCGGTCAGTATGACACTTTTCTTTATAGTCCATTAAATATTGTTTTCATTTCAAATGTAACTTTGACTTTATGTCACTTTATACTTCTACTCCACTACATCTCAGAGAAGTTTATTGTATTTCCTGTTGATAAAACTACCCAATATTATATTCAAGAATAACTGGAAAAAAATTGATTAATCAATTAACTGGAAACGATTATAGTTATCTTTTAGTCATTCTTCACAAAAAAAACATACCGGCTCCAGCTGCATACATTTTTTTATGATTTCTTTAAATATTCCATCTCATCTATCGTTTTCTAATCACTGAGAAACCAAACATTAAAAAAGGAATTCAGGATTATTATCAGCTATATATACTAGTATAATACTAACAGTCACATGGGACCTTATTCTGCAATTTTACTTTTAAGTACGATTTCGTGATCATATTTCATACTTTAACTTAAAAAACATTGCAATGCATTTTCAAAGCAGGTCTTTTCACAGTGTGGTATTAGTATTCAGTAAATGATCTCCTTCCTCCACCACTGACAGTAACAGAGCACACACACCTCCTCCTCAGGTCCGTGGCAGTGTGTGTGACGGCGTACAGTCCTCTGGGCAGCGGGGACAGACCCTGGGCCGCTCCAGATGACCGGAGTCTGCTGACGGATCCTCGACTAGCAGCCATCGCACAGAGATATCAGAAAACACCGGCCCAGGTCGTACTCAGGTGAGACAAAGCCTCGACCTCCAAATAACTTGATAACAGATCATCCCGGGCCTCTTTGCTTTCGAGGTCACCTATTATGCAAAATCCACTTTTTCCTGTCTTTTATACATAAACACGTGTCCCCTCTGTGTCAAGAGATTCTGAATGTTTCAGGAAAAAAGTTTCGCTCACTTTTTGTCCTGATCCATTTATATAAAAACCTGTCTGAAAATGAGCTGATCAGATTTTGGCCACTTTATGATGTCATAACGATGTTTTGGCTTGTGTAACCATTAGCCAATCACCAACCAAGGTAACCCCCCCACCTTATCACCTGAATCTCCTCCTAGAGCAGGGGTGCCCAACTTTTTTTGAACCGAGAGCTACTTTTAAAGTTGCCAGTCTGCCGAGATCTACCAGTCCAAATAGAGAGGCGTAGCCATTACTGACAGCCTACTACCAGGTAAATACCCACTTCTACTTCAAACTGACCTTTGTACAATGAATACTTCATAAAATACTGCAGATCCTTTATCTTACCTCTTTCTAATCTACACACATACAAGTATTCAACTGAAGTTACACAACAGTGTTGTTGATACAGAGTTGGAGTTTATTCACACGTCACTACAGTGGGTAATGTTTTCAAGAAACATTGAACAGTGCTGCCACATATGACACAGGAACAAAAGAAAATACTCTGAACCCTTTCTTTGCCATTATATAAAAATAGTGTTGCTACAAAAGTATAAATTAGGCTTACTAATAAGACAACTCAGATCTGAAGCTACACAGGAATCTGCTGCCAAAGTGCAATAAAAAAAGATTATCTAAAAAATTAATGGAATCAAACCCTTTTTTTGTTGCATTTTAGTAGAGTATAAAAATAAATGCCTTTAAAATAGGATGCAAGCAACACTAGTTTCTTAACCTGAATTGATAATAGACTATAATCAATTTAAGTTTGCATTCTTATACCATTTTGTACAATAATTATAATGAATAAGTTCAAACTAAAACTTACAGCTGATTAATAACGGTATCTAACTTGAGTTTTTATTATATCAAAAACCTGTTGAAATGCTACTGTTATTTTTTACTGTCCCCAAAAAGCGCATCGGCAGCCTCCAGGAATGCTTCTTTCACAACTTCGCCGTCTTTGAAAGACTTCATGTGTTTCGCAAGAACGTGACTGACACGATAAGATGCTCTGGTAGCAGCCTTGCTCTTGTTGTTGGGCCTGGTGAAAATGGACTGCTGTGCATTTAGCTGTCCTTTCAGGCCCCTCCCCTTTGGGAGCGTAAGGCAGAATTAGGAGGGAATTCCCTCTCGTAGCGTTTGTGCACTGTTTTGAAATGCCGCTCCTAAATTACTCTTCTTCGATAAAGCCACGCTCGCATTGCAGATGAGACAGATGGACTTTGAATTGGAATAGATACAAAAATAATCATCCTCCCACTCGGAGTGAAAATTATATATTTTGGGCTTTTTTGCTTCTGCCATAATTGCGGTCTTGTGTATGTGCGGACTGTCACTCCTGTTGACACGGACAACGTCAGCGAAATAGTGCCCACTGCCCACCAGCCACGCCCCGACACATGGGGTCACGCCGGCCAATCACAAAGCTTTGATGCGTTCAAGTGCATTATTCTGGCACAGGAAGATTATGTTATAGGACATTAACGATAAAACCGAATATTGTTGTTCTATTTTTAGACACATCTCCCGATCGACTGGGAATCTCCCCGCGATCGACCGGCGACTGGTTGGGCACCCCTGCCCTAGAGCACCATTGTGTTATTTTTAACCAAATATCTCGCAGAGGGGCGTGGGGAGTGGCTCCTTATATTCATCTAAAGCAGTGACCACCAACTGGCGGCCAGCGGGCCACATCCGGCCCGCCAGACATTCTCATCCGGCCCGCACGACGGGGGTGACTGTGGCGTTGGCGGAGTGGTTACTGCGTTCGCCCCCCACCCATTTTTTTTTTGTACAACGTCTCGTGAGTAAGGTGCAGTACCGGAGTCCAACAGAGAGGCAGCAGCTGCAGGACAGTAGACTGCGTACTGCGAAACCTTCCCTGCCTTGAAGAAGACGTGATCCTTCGTTGTGAAGAGTCTGCTTTGTGCGCTCCGCACCACAGCAGTAGGGCCCGCTGCGACAGAGTCCAACAGAGAGGCAGGAGCTGCGGGACAGTAGCCTAGAAGCAGGGTTGGGTTGTAACGGAATACATGTAACGGCGTTACGTAATCAGAATAAAAAATCAAGTAGGCTAACTGTATTCAGCTGGCGTTACATTTGAAAAACGAGTAATCTGATTACAGTTACTTTCGTAAACCTGAAGTGAATACATTTTTGGAATACTTATTGGAATTATTGGTGGAAAAGTTTCCTCACAAAATGTAATATTCATTACCGGCAGAACTGTGTGCACACTGCACAGCGCTGCAGCATGTCTGTGAGCGTGAGAGAGATGCAGCGTCTGTGAGGCCCCGCCCCCGCACGCAGATGAGAGAGAGATCTCTTAAAATATATTGAAAGTTAGAAACGGAGATGGTTGGATAAAATGTGCAAGATAACGTTTATGTAGCATTTCTTTATTGTCGAAATTATGACATTTCATAACGGGATCAAATCAAAGTGAATGGCCTGCTGCTGCTGAATGCATGGGGCAAGTGACTGGAAAAAGTTATTACATCGTTTCAGATACTAATAATGATAATTCATTCTATTTAGGGGCGCCTTTCAAAGCACCCAAGGACACCTTACAATTCATAACATATTCCAAGGAAAGGTTTTAAGACAGTACAAAGAATGCAATCCGGGTGATGTTTTTGATGTGGGGTGCAGATGAGAGGGAGCTGTCCAGAATGACGCCAAGATGTTGTGTTTGAGTTCTTGATAAGCCATTAAAACAGTAAAATACGTGTCTCCTGTTCACCAAAACATACCCATCTGTTATGGAAAAATAAAGTATTCCAAAAGTATTCTAAAAGTAATCTGAAAACGTAACTGTATTCTGATTACTTTCAGAGTATGTATTCAGTAACTGATTACATTTACAAAGTAACCCTCCCAACCCTGCCTAGAAGTGATCCTTCGTTAGCGTGAAGAGTCTGCTAAGCTTTATGCGGTCCACACTCCCTGAGCGTGCGCCACTAGCACCCCCCCCCCCCCCCCCCCTAGTTTCTAAGTGATATCATTTTAACATGTGCATTCTGGGTGCAGGGTTAGTAGGGCTAACCCATATCTGTTCAATAGATGAAAGGCAACTTGAGTTTAATAATTGTGCCAAAGTACCAGTTTGTGTCTTGGTAATTGCACAAAGCTGTAATAGGCCACAAATAATCACATTTTTCTAAAAACACAGCAGCAAAACCTATTTTATCCACCCAAAAATGAAGGCCCACCTGAAAAAAAAAATCGCTATTTTTAGCATTAAATAA